AATGAAAGGCAAATGAAGTTCAGAATATTTTCAATCCTTGGTGATATGATGACCGTTAAATTTACGAATAGACAAGATTGAAAATGAAGTAATTCAAAGGAATTAGCATGATAATATGAACAAATAAAAAAATTCGTATCAAGAACTTTTCTTCAAAAGTTTCATACAAAAATCATGTCAAATTTTGCAAGACACATTTTTTTTCAACATTTTTTCGTCTGAAAAAAATTGACATGTTTTTTACATGAAACTTTTTTTTGCGATTTTTTTGGTCGTTATTAAGATAATATGTTATTATTATGTCAAATCTTTAATAAAGTTATTAAGATAAAAAAAATCCCAACATAACATAATAATAAATATGTCGGGCAATAACATATTAATAACATATCGAAAATGTAAATCTGTATTTACATAAATGCCATAATTTGAAACAGGATTGTATGCTCTTTAAATTGAAAACTACCATTTTTTTTTTATCTAAAGATATGAAAAACACTCTAATGTATATGTACGTTCGGTTTTAATGTTAAAATTTGATTTTATTTAAGTAACAAAAGGAAAAAAAATTTGGTTTAACAACAAGATATTAGTTTTGACATTATTTGTTTTGTTCCTTTAAAGAGATTGTCAAAATTCGATTTTATACACCATTTTTTTTGTATTTTGTTTAGCTTTAATATAGTATAAAAAATGTTCATTTAAAAATTGGAGGAACCATAACAATGTTCGCATGTTCCATCGAAGAAAAAAAGAATAGTGGTACCTACAATTAGAAAATTGTTGTTGCTGCTGCTCTTACATAGTAGAAAATTTACTAATTTAGCAAAAAAAAAGAACAAAAACAGAAGTTTGTGAAACAAATTGTCTTCTTTTTTTTCATCATTTTATCTCTTTTCCTGTTTCTTAACTTTCTTTCATTTGTGTTTTTTTCTGTTTCCTGCTTGAAACAAAAACTTTTCATTTTTTGTGATAAAAATTATAAATTAAAATGGTTGATCACAAATTTATGTTTGTTTTGTTGTTTGTTCACGAATCATTAATATTGTTCATATCGAAGGTTTTTTCCAATTCGTCGAGCGCATCGTCCGAACCCGAACCATCGCCCGATGCGGTCAGATCGCTCAGTTCGTCGAGGCTTTTTTGCGATTTACGAACGTTCCAATGCAAACATTCAGCCAACGAGTCAAACCAATCGGATATTTGATCCTGAGCACAAATGGAGGGTACGGGATATATTGACGTGGTCACACGCAAACTATCACCATGCAATAGCTCTTGCCGATTTCGGCCATCGAATGATACCCAAGACGTGTTACGGCTGTCTAGCGATACGGAAATTTTCAATTCAACGCCCGCCGGAACGACAATTGGTCGGAAACTGAGTGAATGCGGACAGATTGGTGTTACCATGATGGCCGGCACCGATGGATGTATCATTGACGCACCAGCAGCAACCGCATAGGCCTATTCGAAACGATGATAAAGTGAATGTTAATCGGTTGATTCGAACGAGAGAGAGAGAGAGAGAGAAATGAAATTTGTCTCTCAAGCATGCGTATATATTTACCGTGCTTCCCGTTGGTGTTGACACAATCAAACCATCACCTTGAACGGATGTGATATGCTTACCATCAAGGAATAAATCAATATTACATAGATATGGTGATGGACCACGATCTATGACCACTTCATTGAGCACCTACAAAAAATGATGTCATGTTTTAATTTACGTTGTTATCGATTGATTTGTATTTTATTTTTGAATGAAATCACCCCAACACTAACCAAAATATTAGTAGCTGGCTTCGGTGTTACTGCTGTACCATTCGATGAATCAATGGCCTTATGGGCGAGCCAATTCTTCTCGCAACTATTTTCGTTCGGTTCTTCGTTCTTTCGCACGATGATGCATCGCAAGCGACTTCGTAATGTTAGGGCTGCATGTCCTTCAAGCACATTAGTCACTTGCTCCTGGAAATTGTCAAACTGAAACGGTGTCAAAAAGCCCAACGAACCCAAATGGAATGCCATTACGGGCGGCACCGATTGTTGAAACAATAGTGATGCATACAGTAGTGTACCGTCGCCGCCTAAGCACACAATAAAATCTATACGATCGGTTAAATCGTCACGGCCATCTCTGATTAAATAGTGAGCGAGTGAGAATTGCGATGGAAACACGAGAAGAAGAGGAAAAAAAAACATAAAATTAATTAATCGATTGAACTTGAAACGAAATGCCGTTCACAAAATATCTTCCTTCTTTCTGGGGAAATACATACTTGAACGTCACCAATTTATCTTTGATTTTTTGAAATTTTTTGTCTCTTAACAACGCTTCGTCATCTAATATAGCCGCTTCGACCCAAACTACCATGTGTTTTTCCTGTACAATTTACAAACAGATTTTAATCACACAGAAAAGTAAAGAATTGTTCAAAAGGTATCATTTTCATGGCACAACTGATTACAATCGTCTGCCATAGAAATAGTGTGGCAAAATAAAAAATATATTTTATACCTGAATAAGCCATTCAACGAGCTGCACAAATGGTGGCAACACCAACTGATCACGAACTTTTTTGATGACAAGCACTGCCAACGGTGGTTTATACCAAGTCAATCGCTGACTGGCCGGATCTTGAATTTGCCTATAGTGTCACACATTGAAATTTCACTCGTCAGTCCAAATGGATTCGATCGAATTTGATTTTAATTGAAATAAAATCAAGTACTCACATGACCATCGCCGAGTTTTTCATAATCCGTCCACATGGTCCAAACTGCTGAAATGGTGATGGTGCATTTAGACTTCTGGTGCGCCTAAGATCGAAAGATGGGAATTGAAAAAATATTCGTTTCACCTTCAACCATACTGGTACTGAACATGATTTACAATTGTCAATGGTTTTATACAAAATAAAACAATGATTGCAAACACGCATTCACAATGATAAAAAAAAAATCGTAGTAATCGAAGTGCTCTTAACTATAGCTCGTTATCACGTTATCACCAATCAATTGGCAAATGTTTAAACATGTGAAATGAGATCCGGGGTTTTTGTCGAGCGTTTGAAAAAATTGAAAAACAACCCATTACACTTCTATTTTATTCGAACTTATTTATCATTCAATACATTTATTTGGCATCGATGGCAGGGCGAAAAAAAACAAACAAACCAAAATAGCACGAGAAAATTACAAAAAAAAAAAATTTCATTTCATTTCCAGTTTATCACCTTAATACTCGTTGCGATGGATCGACTTTTTTGGCGGTGGGTACATCACCGTTTGGTATTTCATGATCGAAAAAATTCGTACTCAGGGTCTTGACCCGATCCATATTGTTTCGTTTGGGCTAGCTACTGTGCTTTATTCTATGCTCTCTCGTCTCTGTCTCGCTATCTATCTATCTCTCAATGAAAAACCAACAAAAATCAGCTCTCCTACACACTGTGCATTCGATTCGATATTATTAAGATTCTCAAAATCTCTTTCTCGGTGTCTATCGCGGGCGCGCTCTGTGTGTGTATCAGTTCTATTGTTGAACACAACGACTACTTTCTGATCATGCCGCTGAAAATGATTTAAAAACACACCGAAGCAATGAACGTTATGTTACGGTCACTATGACTTTTTTTTTTGCTCTTCAGACTGGTTGGTCGTCTGTTGTTGACTTGTAGCAAACGACGAGTGAACCTAAAGTGAGGGCAAATGTTCAAAACGGAATTGCTTCTGTTTTTTTTCTTCTGGTCTGTCTCTTTGCGATTTGCACACTTATTGTATATGAGTCGTCTGATATTAAACGAATAGGAAAAATGATTTGAATATATATTTGAATTGTTTTTGCTGGCGGCATTCTTCTCTCTTCTCGACTATTTCTTCTTCTTCTTTTTTTTACGCACGATCATCAAATCACCACACATACAGAGAAAAATCGGTTCGGCTCACCACGAGACGGCATTCAACCATTAAACTTTAATACTTCAATTTTTTTTTTAAAAAGCAGGTTTTTCGGTTGTTTTCGGGTTGCTTCAGTAACAACCAGAGACAGTGAGACAGAAAAAAAAAGGTTGAGGTGAGGAAGAAAAAAAAAACAATCCACAGCCACAAAAACAACACACCAGCAAAACTAAATGGCAAAATGATGAATTTATTATCATTAAAAATATATATGCTTTGGACATCATCTCATCATGGTGGGACACAAACACAATCGCAATCGGAATCGACCTACCGATGAAATCGAACGAGAGAGAGAAGGCAAAAAAAACCAATCGCCACATACCATTACTAAAGCAAATAACGTGTTTTTAGTTTTGCCATTGGACATATTTTTTTATTCGTCTTTTCATGCGAGTATATCTCTCAATGATTATGGGGCTACTCGATATTAACCGAATCGAAATTAAAATTTATGTAAATCTACACTGTCAGTGTGGTGTTCGTGCATCTCATCAAAAGTCACAATCAAATTCAATAAATAAAATAGATGAGGTAACACACACGCAAAAAAAGCAAAGGTAGTAAGTAGTAAGTCCAAGGTGTGCGCAATAGTAAAGACCCAAATAAAAAAAAAAAAAAAATTTATAAACAACAAATTCAATAAAATACTCAAACAGTTACACATTACACGGAGAATAATTGATCTATGAATAAATATGCGCATGAAAACCGTCAAAATTAAAATTCTATCTGCACATATCCTTTGGGCAAACGACGTCGCCAACAAATTCATCGTGTTTTGTGTGTCGGTTCCAATCGATTCGGGTGTTTTATTTTCTGTGCCTTTCCTTTTATCCATCGTCTATTTTGCTCTATAACTATTCAGTTCACACGAAAGAGCAATGTCAAGCGCGACCATTTTTCGGTCAAAATTCAAACATTCATTTTTGTGAATGGTTTGGTTGTGATGGAAAAAAAATATATGATTTGTTTTGTTTTTCACTGTTTCAGTCGGTTTGACAAGACCTTGGATTTCATTTGTTTAAAAATAGAAATCAATCAAATCAAATGTTGATAACAATGTGCAGCAATCACAGAGACAGAGAACAAGAAAATCCACCCTTTTGAACAAGAGTACAATTATGCATTTATGCCATCACTACAATCTACAACAAACGAATGATCTTTTGTTATTTTCAGTTTTGTTTTGGAAACTTTTTTTTTCTAAATCGAACTCAGCACACACTCATTTGACAGCGCAAAACTGACTCTTTACCGCGTGCGCAACCGAAACGAGAGATGAAGCGAGAAAAAAAAAATTGAGTGTCCGAAAAACGTGCACGACACAGCTACTGGACAACAGCAGCATCATTCCTTTCGGATATATCACCGAGAGCAACACGCAACAGCAACCGTAGCCAATGCTCGTTAATGTCGTCGCGCTTTGGTCGGGGTCTTGTACTTTGTTTTTTTTTTCATTCCCATTCTTTTCCTTCTACATTGTACTTATCTGTCTTATTGTTGTTTTCATAACTATTATCATCGGCATTGCCCATTGTGCAATCTCAAACATGATTCGCACACCGTCCGCTACACAATTTTAAGCATTGCATCTCTTTTGCTACGCTGTGTCGCCAGCCCATTCCACCTGATACTTTGTACTTTTCCGAAATGTTTATTCATATACGTGTTTTGTGAACCGTTGACACATACAAATACACACACAGAGAAACAGATGATAGAGTGAAGTCTCGTTAACTTGAACGAGCATCGAATATCGCACTGGATCTAAAATTCCTTTGTTTTTTTCGTTCAATTTCTACGTGCATTGGCTATGATTTAAAGGTGGATTTTTGGATAAAAATGGTAAAAATGTTAGTGCCATATCGAAATTATACATTCAATCTTATCAGTTAAAACAATCTTTTGCCCTTATCACGCGGAAGTTTTTTTCTCCATATTTAATTTTCGTTTTATCGATGTGCTACTGTAGAACCAAGCGTGTTGTGTGCGATCATGCCGGAATATTCGAATTGTCTCGGCTTAAAGCTATACACCGATCATTATCCAGCATGTGAACAATTTAAAACTAGTCTTTTCATCATCGAGCGAATAAACAACAAAAAACGTTGTTATCGTTCTATTGTGGCATTTATAATTTTCCGTTTCTAGTTAGTGTTTCAAACCGTGTCTATCGAATTTGTTTAAATTTTTGAGAGACAAAGAGAAAGATGAAGAAAAGGTGAAACAATTGAATCGACTTAGCTGTAGAATGATTCGTGCCATCGAATACAGAATGGTTCTTTTTGTTGGCTAAAAAGTGAAAGTGATTGAATGAGATTTTGATAGAATATTGATAGAATGAGATTTTAAATTAAATTTGGTCGTTTTTCTAATTCATTGCCAATGGCCACTATTTTGACGGCTTTCATTTTTATTTTTCTTTGCTTTTGACTTTGTCGTTGCTATCGTTGTCTTTGACTGTCTCTAAAAATCAGACACGAAATCAAACCATAATGATGTCATTAGTGTGTTCCGTTTTACTCTATACGATCAGCTTGCGGGCCGCAGCCACAGCTACATTCACACAAATTCAATCAAAACCGAAGCAATCAATGTGGAATCGATATGATGTTAAGCATACTTATTAAATTGCCAATGCGATCAAGAATTCACGGTACGTTGATGCAATTAGATTAATTTATTTGTCTCTTCTGTATCTTTCTTTTGAATAGATTTAAACTAGAAAACCGGCTTGAAAATGACACATCAAATGCTTGTGATGACTTTTTTCTAGTAGCAAAATAATATTTTTTTTTTACTGTTGAATCAACAGTGTTGATTAATTACGGGTACAGAATTTAAATATTTTTTTCTTCTATTTCATAAGAGAGGATACAAAGTACATGTTTTCTTCGTAAAATAGTGAGATTGCAAAAAGATTTTCTTTAGATTGATTTGGAATTTTTTTTCTTCAAATAATCGCGTCGTACTTCCAGGCGTTTCATTTCGGCGAGAACTTTAATCTTTATCTACGGTGTGTGTTGCTATTTATATTTTCACCTTAGAAGTTGAACGTCTTCGAAACAGCCCCTGTCCACAGCGAAAAAAAAAACAGGAAATTAATCCGTAGCAACGAAGCTAACGAATAAACACTTAAAACAATACTAAAACCGGCCAACTTTTTTCAAAATATACCAAGTGTTCACGGTTCAGTTGTCCTTTCCGTTTTGCTCAGTCCATTTCATGTCAATTTTAAATCCAAGTTAATAGTCGATTTGATTAACGAGCATTAATTAATGTATTCATTAAAATGAATTTACGCGTGTGCATATCGTTCAACTGGTGTATGTATGTGTGTTTGTCTACGTGTTTTCAACGTGCAATTGTAATAGCGTCCAATTCTGCTGAAAAACTCGCAAATAAATCGATCGTGGAAAAATACGAATGGACATAAGATACAGAATTGAGCCAACCACACAACAGAAACTAATTAACCCTATTCTAACCCTACAGACATTTCGAGGTCAATCGGTACGCATTCTTTTGTGCACTATCCGAAAGAGAGAGAGAGAAAAAAGAACACACAAAATACAATTAAATGTAACACAGTTCCGCTTTTGTCACACTCAATCGACCTATAAACAATGACTCTTCGAATTTGACAACATGTTCGATATTCAATTTGCGTGTACTCACGCTAACCGCATCTAAAATGCCATCAAGTATAACTTGCGCAATTGAAACGAACGGTGGCGAGCACACAATTTGGCAACCGATTGAGAAAAATAATACAACTTTGTATTTCTTTTTTGTCACTTACGGCCATGTTCCAGATCTCTTTCGATGAGGAAGATTGAGATCCTCTTCTAGCGCTTGATCGACGACGGCTGACGCTGTTTCGTTGCACGGATAATGACAATCGCGCGTTGTTGTTTTTTCAGTCATCGTTCGTGTGTTTCTGTTGATTGCATCACCTGATAAACATTTTGCATGCACTGTGCCATTGTTACTGACGCCACCACCGTAATCGCAGCCGCCGTCGTCGTCGTCATCGTCACCGTAGCCGCTGTGATTGGCATCAGTTTTTCGAGAATCCGGATCGTTCGTTGCTAATGAAATCGATGACGATGATACGTGTGTATTGGGCAATGTCTGTTGCTTTGCATTCATTCGTTTGTTTACAGTGCTCGAAATGTCATTGTTGTTTTGATTTTGCCGTTTATAAACCATGATTTTATCCGTATGAACACTACTAACATTTTTTTTACTCGATTTATCACAATGGTTCAAGTTCCTGGTGACATTGTCACCGTTTACCGATGTCGACAATAACAACGACGACGATGATGACGATCGATTGCTCACACAAGCACTCCTTCGTTGGCGGTTTGTGGCGAGTTTATTGCTATTGTGGTTAGCTGCACTTAATGAGGTCTTTTCACTGATGAAAGTTCCACCATTTACCAACGTTTTTTTATGATCAACACCAATTTTTTGATTAACACCACCACCGCTGCTGGTTTTGTTGTGCATATTTTGATTGTAACGATGGTACGATTGATTTGGTGCCATTGTGGGTGGAATGTAGTACTTTTGCCGTCGATTGAACCACGATAATTTGTATTGAATACGTTCATTGAGCCGCGATCGATGCAATGTTGCCAAATCAATATCCGAAAAGTAAGACATCTTTGGTGTATTTATCGATTGTGATTCGTTCGTTTTCTCTTTGAACATAATTCCTGATGTGTCAGCTATTCTAACCGATAATACTGTTAACTAGTGCTTTGTTGTTGTTGTTGAAAATCGACATACACCCGTACAGTAAGATAGATGCACTGAAAGCAATTTGCAAAATTCAATTTGTTGTTGTTGTTGCGCTCGTTCAAATTAATGCGAATGTTAGTTTCAGAGTTTGCCTTATTTTGACTATGGACTTGGATTCGTTGATTTTAGCCTGGCTTTGCTTTGCTTTGCTTTGGTTAACACTAACATCACATAATTGTTTGTCACACACAGAGACAGACAAAGACGCACACACACTCAGAGACACTAATTATTATTTCAAATTTATGGTGAAAATTGACACGGAGTGCATTTTAAGCGATGAGCACACTTTCGACCTCTGCGTAAACGATCGCCATTCATTCCATATATATATATTGCACATGCACGTTTCGATCACACTTTTCAACGATTTAGATTTGAACGTCAAAATGAAGAACAAATGAAGAAGAAGAAAAAAGTGCACACGAACACACAGACAACTAACTAATGTCACTCTATATTCCGAACGTGTGCCGTAGAATATAAAAAATGAAATAAAACCAAAAGCGATTAACTAACGAAGTTTCAATGTTTGAACAACAAACAGTAACCGAAGAAGAAAAAAAGCACAAGAGTATTGAACTAGAGTAGAAAAAAAAAACGGTCGATCGATGTGAGACACACTTATCATCGACCGAATTGAATGAATGAACAAGCGATTGAATGAATCGGCTGTCAGGCTGGCTGGCTGGCCAACTTTGGAACGGCAACAGAATAGGCGAGAAATAAACGAATAAACGAAAAAAAAAAACAAAAATAATGCGAAGAGAATTCAATACATTGAACGCGCGTGCGGATAGTAGCAACCGCAACAGCAGCAGTAACTGCAATATCAATGTGACTAAACACAAAATAACAGCAACCACACCAAATACCAGCTAAATTTTAATGAAGTGAAGAAAAAAAAACAGAGTCAACGGAATAAAAAAAAAGAAAAATAATAAAAAGCCATAAGCGAAATAAAATACGCGGACAAATCATTCACACACTGAATATAATCAACACTGGCTGTTTTTCCCGCATACATACGGGGCATTCAGAAATCCAAAGTGGTCAACACAAAGACATCACGTGAACATGTACACTATAATGATTTGTGTGACATTTGCCACATGAATAAAAACAAAAAGTGGACGGAATTTCTTCGGTGTCCGCCGTTGTATGTGCGCTTTTTTCCAACTTTTTCTTCTTCTTTGAATGGTACGGTTTATTTTACATGTTGCTGAAAAACCGAAATTTATGTGCTCTCAAATTGCGTGTACACCGAAGAGCATTATGGAGATCTGTGTGTGACCTGAGTAGATGAAAAACGGTATTTTATGCATAGCTCCAAATATCTACAGTGTACTCGTGCCTCTTTTTGCTACTACTCTTTTTCTCTCTCTCTCTCTCTCTCTCTCTCTCTCTCTCTCTCTCTCTCTCTCTTTCCTTCTCGAACCCATCTTTCTCCTTCAGTTTTCAGCTTTCTCATTCAATATTGCGTCGGTCCGTTTTCCCCAATGGACTGACGATTGTTTCTATATTTTAAAACGTGTTGTTGTTGTGCTTTTGTTTTCTTTCTCCGTTCCGACCAACTCCGAACGAATCGGGAGAATCATGTAACCAAAATGTGAAAATATATAAATCAATCAATGGAAATTAACGACAAACAAACCAATTTGGAATGAATATGCGCGCGAGCCGCCGTTTGACATCGTCAAAATGAATCGACTCTGCGAAAAAAAATAAATAGAGTAGTTGAACTAGAAACGTGTGCGTATCGATCATTGTTTGCGTAGTCTTTGGACTCTGTGCAAGCTCACAGTAGCATAATCACAGTTTGAATTTTGTGCCGTTTTCGTATTCCAAATGCATGAAACCAAGTGTGATAGAGTATCATGCGTCAGGCAATAAAAAATGAATATATAACATTGAAATGAAAAACATAAATTTACGTATACATTCTTATTTCATTCCCGTTTACTATCATAATTACTGATTTCTGTATTTCACAACATTGTGGCAAAGTCAATTCGAACAACAAATGTTATGACCAATACACAAAGCGAAAGTAAGTGTATCAACACAACCATATTATACACCATTTCTTTGTTTCGTCGCTGGGTTGTTTTATAGACAGTTTTTAGTGTTTCAATTTTTCGAAATGTGCTGATAAACAGAGCCTAATGTAAAACTGCTTCAAATGACCAGTGTTCATTCAGTATGTGTAGTGTTCAAAATCCAATTTGAGCGTTGATTCAATAAAACTTGATCTTTTACGCGAATAAATACGACCGAATTGTATAACATGCACGGCGCAGTCTCTGCTCCATTGCAATCATAACAATAACAAGGTGTATGGTTTTGTTTACAAGTTCAAAATATAACAATCAACTGTCTTATTGACTATATTGTTCTGGGTTTGAATGTGCGTGCGTGTCATGTTTGTACTATTTACGATTTGATCGATCCCGTTTGGTGGGTTTTTTCTGTTGTTGAACGCATTTTTCGGTCGCTATCCTCTCTACTATTCGGTTGTTTCTCCACTGCTATGTTCTGTCTTTCAATGGTCTCGAATGTTCGTTAAGTATCTTCAAATTTCCGAAAAACGCTCTAATCACTATCGATTTGTAAATTACATCATTCACATCGGACTATGTCTGATTACATTGTTTGTAGAATTTATTTACTCTTTGATTTGAAATACTTTGTTTTATTTTTCGTAGCAAATGCCACCACAACACCCAATCGAGTGTATTGTTATATTCTCATCATGACATTCCTTTATTGAAGTTCAATGTCCAGCATAGTTTTTGAACCTATTATCTATTGCATCTTCAGACGGAGTACCATTATCTATCATATAGTCAAGTTCAGTTTTACTACAAACTGTCACGTTCAGTTTTGGATAGATTTAATCTAATCGATCGATGACGTCAAAGGATTTTTACGGACAATAAATTTGAAGAGTTTTTCGATTCGAGCATGTTGCATTTTATCAATATTCGAGTACGAATATTGAGCAGGTTTGCGTAAAGTTTGTAAATAAAGTGTGTTGCATTTGTTTTTGACATGTGTGAAGCTTAAATTGGGTGTATGTTTTGCTGGCGGTGGCAGCAGCAGCAAATCAACTGGAACCGCAAACATTGGTTCGTTTGTTCCGAATAAATTGTTTGTTTTGCTAAAATCCAACATTGTTATTATATCACCCATAATTACGATAATATTAATGTTATAGTCATTGTGTCTGTTGAAATATTTTGCATCAACACATTTTGTTTTCTATGGCTGTGCTGCTTTTTTTTCCTGCTAAGTTGTTTATGTCATTATGGAACCGGATTTCTCCCGATCGATCGAGCTAAATTGTTATACAGTAAATTCAATCGTCAAATAATTTAGAACCATATGAATATTTCACTAACATTATTTTTACCATTCATTATTATGTATGCCGGCATTTAAAACGACCAATGCTTTTTTTTTGGTCGGTTCAAAAATCCAACGGACACAGCTGCATATATTTATTCTAGCCTCTCTGTCTCTCGCTCTCCCTATCCGATCTCTGTGAAATATTCCGAGAAATGATTGCGTAGTTGAAATTTTGCCATTTCAAACACTTTTAATATTCGTATATGTTATGAAACGGTTTTTCGGAGGAGCGCTGACGGTGTCTCTCGTGAGCGCTGACACGTATTTCGAAAATCGAACGATAACCACAAGTGTTAAATGCTTCGTTTGTTTGTTGTTTCGTTTCAGTATTACTTCTTTTTTTCTACTTTGCCCCGTAAATGCGTAATGTTTTAATTGTATAATCATACTATTCCATGCTATCAATGTGTGATTGAGCTGTTATTTGTCATGACACTTTTCAAATGTCGAGTGATTTAGGGCGAACAGTCGATGATCGTACGCAAATCAATTTGGTGTGTTGTCAATTTTAATGCCGTTATCAATTGTTTGTTAAAGAAATAAGTTTCGATTCCATTGAACAGGGAAAAAAGAACAGTTTTGTCGAACGTATCCAATGTTTAGTTGCAATTTTATCGATTTGTTTCCGTTTTTTTCAATTTTGTTTGCAAAAAAGTACGAAAAACGTTTTCTTTTCTATCAAACTGCGATGCCAATCAAAAATAAAACATCGAACAAAATAATGACGATCGATTTTAAAGTGTGCTTACCATTCTCGAAATGCTTCTTTGTTATCTGAATCGCTGCCGGCTGGTGGGAATGGGCCTAAATCACAGCATCCATTTGGAATGTGGTGATTTGTATTACTCGATGACATGATGACTTCTTAATTTGATTAATGCACTGATTCGGTTGTTGAATTTTGGTACCTGAGACACACCCACCCAAACGCACACACACACACACACACACACGTGTTGTTCTTTCCGACAAAAACAATCGTTGTTTGCAACTGAATCGTAGGTGCAAGATATGAATCTTGAGCAATTAAAATCGCAGCTAAGTTAATTTGAACGAATTGTAAGTATGCACTCGTGCTGGTCAATTCAAAAATGCAATGCTTGAAAAAAAATTGAGGCTTTCTAAACAATATTTACGGTTCGTAGTAAATAAAACGGCATTGCAAACGAATTAATGATTAAATTGACCCAATTGTTAAAAAAATGCATTTCAAGCACTTTGCTGTTGTTGCTGTAACGCACGCACGTGTGTTCGCAATGGTTTTTTTTTGACCCGGCACCGTTTCCGATTCAATTTTTTTTTATTTTGAAATGCATTTACAGTTCGCATCAAACCAAATACTAAATCAAAATTGTTGTCAAATAACAAAGTATAAACAATTACACACACCACATTAACTGTTCAAGGGATAATGACACTCCGAAACAAGTGAGTGAGAGCAACGACAAAGAAAATACACGAAGATAAATAAAACGAAGGAAAGAAAAAAACACACAAAGAGAGTGAGAAATAGAAAAAAACATTATCAGAGAAACAAAGATAATGACTTGCAAACGGGCGACACTGTCACACTCAATTTTAATTGCGAATCGTGCTCTCTGTCAAATCACCTGCGCATTTTTTATTTCATTTTCTTTCAATGATTCAATTTCTCTTCAACTTTCCTTTAATGAATATTGAATATTGTTTTATCGATTTTTTTTTGTTTGGGTGTGTGTTGTAAATTTGAACTCAAAAAAAAAAAAAATAAAATCAATCGTTTCCTTGATCACTTTCCATTCAGCCGAATGTCCACTTTTGTATGTATTTGATACACTTGATTTTTTATTGAAATGTTGTCGTCGTAGTCGTCGTGGTTTTCTGTATCCATTACGAACAATTCGGATTTGGATATCGCAATGGTGTGATGTATTATATTTCAGTCATACGTTCCCCCGGTACAATGCGATTTAAATGTGAATAAATCCAATAAAAAATTGTGTTCGTTCGTTGGCACTGAATGTTTATTTTTCACACCAACAAATGATAAATAACTTTATGGCATATTATTTGGTTCAAGTTTACTTGACCGTGGGTACTCTCTCTCTCTCTCTCTCTCTCTTTTTTTGTGTTATCTTCTGTGCATTCCTTGCATGCGATTAAACTGTCAAAATTCTCTATCGCATTCCCAGCGTGTGTATGCGTATGCGTTGTAATTACACATTGAATTCTCTCGTTTTTAAGTGACAATTTTGACGTTTCTGACATTTGTGACATTCGACCGTTTCACCGTTCGAACAGATGTGTTTATTCGTCGAAATCGATTTGAATCGATCGGCTGCTGCTACTCATTTCAAAATTTAAATTGCTCGTTTTTTTTTTCTCGTCACATAAATATTGTGCAATTCATGCAACTCGAAACGCATCACGCTTTTACACAGAGTCATTGTCATTAACACAAGTTGATATTATGAAAATAGCAACCGATAGAAAAGTCAATAGTTTAAGCTTTCGTTTAGTTTGTGCGTAATGTCAATAGATGGCTCTACATTATCTATGTTTCGACTTTCAATCGCATGAATTTTGAATTTATTACAGTGATGTGATAATCTGGTCATTGTTTTGCATTACATTTACCGTTAGAAATCGAATTGAGCCACAAACGAGCACAAAGCGTATATTAAATTTGAAAATGGGATGAAAGTGATTTTGAAACTAGTTGTATGCAATGCTTGCTATGTGGCATTTGCATAGTTGTTTCAGGTAAATTTTCAAATTGATATCATTTTCGATGATTAAATTGGTTCAATTTTCGATGTTTCTTGAATTGCTTGTTCAACATCAATGATGTTTACGATTTAAATTTGATTGTTATAAAAATCATGATTTTAATTGTATTTAATTAAAGGTAAAGCTTTGAAAGCAATCAATGAAATGCGTCAAACTGTGCACTTTATATATTGTTTGTTTGTTTGTGTTTTTCTCTCTCCTCATGTTTATTTGAGTAATTACTGTCGAGTATCAAGGGGTCCCAGTTATTATCGGGAAAATCAATTAGCCATGTGAACAAATGACATCAATCTAACTCATTGGAATTTGCCAAGGTAAACGGTACGATACGCACGACCATACATATTCTTTGCAATCGAAAAACAAAAACATAGCATCAACCAATGTTCTGAAGGTAATGTGACGGATAGAGAAAGGTATTTGAAGTTCATTTGGTGCCCAAATAAAGCCGATATAAAATTATTGCAAACAAAAAAAGGGATCCAATGACAATGTATGTGTGTGTTTTTTTTTCGCTCACCGTTGGATGATGACTGGATAAAAAGAATCCAATAAGTATACGCTTGATTGTGTTGCGAATGATGTGAAACGTGAATGAATACATCGCAGTTGCCGTTCAATTTTGATCATCATGTCAAAGAACAATCTAATACACGTATGTGTTCAGCTCTCCGTTCACCTTACTTTCCATTGTCTACTGTGTTTTTTTTTACTCGATCATTTTGCGCTACCTTGATTTCATATTTCCCAAAGGTTAACAGGTCTATATTCAATGAAAATCATTTTTTTCATTCGGCTCAATTTTTTTTCCCTTCGTTTCTTATTCGCGCGCGCACACGCATTTAGGCTACATATATGGAAATGTAGATCACAATTTTTACTGACGTATTATTGGCAATTAGACTACGAGAGGCTCGCATAATATTTGTTATGCGCCGCTTATTTGTTCTCGAAATAATATTAAACGTTTGGCATGTACTACTGAGTTCTGCAAATGGATTCCATGGCAAAATTCTTTCTCTTACACTCATTCTCATTCCCTCACTCACACTATTGCTATCTCACCCTTACACTCGTGGTCGCTCTGCCAACGTTTCATAATTTAAATGATGATGACGAGCGAGCGAGCTGGCGGTAGCATTTCGGCGTGGCAATATTTCCATTATTGATCAATTTTCGGTGAAGCCATAAAAAAGAAATGCCCATTTCGAAAAATAGTACTTAATATTGGTCATAAATGTATGGGCACTAAAATCCAAATTACCGGCTCGCAACATCGACGGATTTTTTTTATTGACGTATGAAAATGATGGTTTGCGTGTGAGAGTGAAGGAAAAGCACTTTTGCACAAAATTTACTTACCGAAACACTTTTTTCATCTGCACGGGTACTTTACGCAATGGGCTGGGTGATCCTCCAGGCGATTCATTTTCCGATTCTTGCACTAGAATTCGGGCCAACGCAAGATCTTCTTCCTTCATCTTGTTCTCTCGTTTTTTCACTATCTCTCTCTCTCTCTCTCTCTGTTCACTTTCTTGATAGATCCGAAAATCAATTAAACTTCTTTATGTCACCGAACACGCACAATTTTTTGTTCCCTTCTTCTTCACCTTCATACAATTTCTAAATGGGGCCTATTTTCAAAGACGAAAGAATTGAAATGTGAACTCTTCACACAATCGGCAAACTATTTTGTAAATAAAATTTCTTATTCATTTTGGATACAGGAAGACGCGTTTAAAAAAATGATCGTTTGTTTTCTTTCGGTAGCTTTCTTCTGAACGAATAAAAAAAGTGTTCTTGACACTCGCAGCGAACACCTCAGCTTAATGATTTAAGCAAAATAAAATGTAAGTCAGAAAACAACGGGCGAAACACCAGAAAAATTTACACCAAACTTATTCACTCAACGACGAATGATACAATCAAAACTGTTCCATCAAAAATAAATAAACACCGAAAAAAAAGTATTAACGACAAATGAGAAAAAAGTCGAGCGCGAAACGCATCCGATATGAGTGTGTGTCAGTGAAAACTACTCAAAAAAAGTATAAAAATATATATATATATATCTAATGAATTGAATATATTAATATTAAAGCATGCGCATAAAAATAAATACTAAAATCGGTTTGTCGGATTTAAATACAGCCTCTCGGCTAAGCGGCGCAAACAAATACAATCATATTACTTGCGCAAACATGTATATTCGACAATTATCGGCAACCGTATCCCAATGTATGTGACTCTTTTAATATATAGATAGATATAGATGTGCTTTCCTTTTCGGTTAAGTCGCACTCAGTGAAATCTGTGTGTAGCAGCAGCAGCAGCCGCAGCAGCATCAACAGTGTTTCTCCGAGTCTGAGTGAACAGGCATTAAGAGCAGACACAAGTACACGAAAAAAGCAACAAAATAAATGCACGTAAAAAAGTGGAGAGTTCATCTTTGTGTATTTCGTACGACGATCATTACAGTGTCGCTCGCACATTTGCGTACTTCAACACAAGCTCTTTTTCTCTGTCTAACACATTTTCTCGCTCATATTCGAAGGCGATATATCCGATGAAATCGAAATGAAAAAATATATATATCATCTCTCACTCTCTCGTAAGACATATATCATTGTTTACACCAACATTTGCTTGCAAAGCCCATTGTCGTTGTCGTTGTTGTTGTTGTTGTCGTCGTCGTCGCAAAGGTATGCTCGAATTTCTTTGACACAAGACGAAAACAATTCGATCATACGTGTGTTTCAATGAGTTATTGAATGCCTTTTCTCTCTCTCTCTCTCTTTCTTGACTGAAAGACACATTTTTGCTCAGCGAAGTGTTCGCTGTGCGAATATGACATAGTTGCTATGTGTTTGATCGATCAAGGCCCTGTATGATGTGCACATGTCTGTGTTCTCGCTGAAATGAAGAAAATCGACAAAAGATTTTACGCAATTTTTGTGTGATAGAGATGAAACATGGAGAACAATGAGCCAGCGAAAAAGCCAGCGCAGCAGGAATTAACATTGAAAACGATATTGTTACATCAAAATAAATTTATAACAATGCATACCGTTTGGATTCAATCTTTCAACAGAAAAAAAAACACGATAAATGATAATATTGATTTAAGCTAGCATTAAATATGTTCATCCGGGATCGATTGAACAAACAGAGAAGAAAAAAAATTTGCTGCGAAGATTTTGAATTGCGATAACGACAAATTCCGCGTTCCATTTTTTGTTGCTCACGACTTTTGGCTCACATTTATATTTACATTTTATTGTTCATTCAATTTGAAATTGTTCACTTGGTATTGTCGGATACAATGCGAATTCAGGTGGATTACATGCCAAACTGGGCTGGAATTCTAAGAATTCCACCGAAATCGTTCGGAATTATTTTTTTCGTACATAAGACCATATTGGAGTGAAAGAGAGAGATTCCACTATTTCTCAGCGTTCCACCGGAATTATTCCGATAACTCAAGGAAGAGTGGATTGTGTGAGAAATAATTGCGGTGGGACGCTGAAAAATAGTGAAATCTCTCTCTTTCACTCCAATATGGTCTTATGTACGAAAAAAATAATTCCGAACGATTTTGGTGGAATGACTTAGAATTCCAGCCCTGGTCAGGAATTGGCTGTTGCATGCGTCACACATATAGATAGCATCGCGATGCAAAATCGTCCCGAATCAATTGAACACGCATTATTTCTATCTAATATCATCGCCATCATCATCATCATTGTCATCATTGAACATCATTGCGTCGCGCAAGTACTTGCATGCACTCCCTGAAAAAGCGCTGCGGACGAAATGTGCATATATAGTACGTGGCTCTGATTGCTTACACAAACATTGCAAAGCCAATTGAAATATTCAATAAGTGCACACACATATTCTGATCGTTGCTGTTGGCTTTTTCTTTTTCTTTCACGTGTACGTTCTTTGTGTATGTGAAAATGAACAGAGCGCTGATTTCAAAACCACCACGAAAAACGAAACGAAAACCAAAAATCAATCAGCACAAGCCCCAATTCGGTATTTTACCGTGGTCAATGTACCTAATCCAGTTCGAACAATTGTTTCATCGAATCGCTAAATTTTTCATAAACATTGGCCAGGGAGTAGGCCAAAATAAACAATAATCAAACTAGCTCATTGGGTGCTCTTTTTTTCCCTTTTTCGTGTCGAATGGTAAACATCCAATCAAATCAAACTCTATATGTGGAGCAAATATATTTTCAAAAGGATAAATTATAAATGGGACAAAAATAAATGCGTCTATTTAAATGTTGATTGGAATAAAATGAAAGAAGAAAATGTTGAACATTAACGATTCGTTTGGAGAGAGAGAGAGAGAGAGAGAGAGAGAGAGAGAGAGAGAGAGAGAGAAAAAAGAAATTGTGCGAGTTAAGCACATCTTGTACTGTGCTTAGTTGTGAATAATGCATTCATCCTCAGGACATGCGGAGTTTCTTCACCTTTTCCGCTGCTGAAATGTTCAGCTAAAAAAGCATGTGAAACAGTTTTTCCACTGTGGAACTTAGTTTAGTTGCGTGTGTCGCACACTTTCCATCGCAATGGTTGTGAGGGTGTATGTGTGTGTATGAGACTCACACGTATTACGGCACATTTGTATGTATGCGAATTGCGTCATTAAATCCACTGTTTTACAATATGTAAACATGTACTGATTTTTTCATCCCTTCTCTCTCCCTCTCTCTCTCTCGCTCTCTGTTCATTCTCTCATGTTTATTATTTAAATTTGGATTCGATGGGCTGTCTGCAAGTATTTGAAGGACAACATAAATTCCATTCGATAGTTTACTGAAATTATGAAGTATTCTGACAATGGTTTTTTTTTTCGTTCTCGTTGGCTTTATTCATGCATGAATTCATATTTCTGCTTGAACACATACATTTGTGTGCGTTCGAATTTATTTTTCTTTGATTGGAGCAATGCACACAAAAACTTGAATCTATATCCAAAACTAGTGGATTAGATACGGGCAAAGTGCGATTGGGGAGGGTGGAAAACGAGACTTTCACCACCAGTCTCCACCACTGTGTCCGAATCATTTTCATCGGGCAAAGGCATACAAAAACACACATTCACACATTTGCACATTGGCCTAAGCCGACGCAAGGAAGCATCATACACATGTATTGATTGTGTTGCGAAATATACAAAATGTTGAGCTTTCAAGCGAACTTATTCCATTTTCGCCAGTCGCATGGCATTTACTGTCAAACTAACAAAGGCAAAAGCACGTACCAATACAAGCTCCAGACACACATACATACACTCAAATACATGCACACAATCAGGGGTTACTATTGGATCCTTTCTTGTACTCTCTTCTTTCGATGTGTGTCTCCAGTTCTCTGTCCAGGAAAAGTTTCTCCACCAACCAAATTTTCCCCGTATGTGCGTTTGCCTCTCATTTTGTTCGCCACTCTCACGCTCTGTCTGTCTCTATCTCTCCCTCTCGTTCTCTCTTGTTCTCTATACGTAAACTTTCGCGCTAATGTTGTACGAACGGTTTTTCCATGCTGTGTGGCTGAGCGCTGAACGCTTCATTCTGGTGTGTTGTATATTTTGCAACAGTACGCTGATGTTAGAATGAGCGAAACACAAATCGGCACTCACGGCAAGCACTCGATGACGGTGTGTGCATTTTTCATTTTTCAACTACGGCGCGATTCTTCTTTTTTTCGGGTCGTTCGCTTCAATTCGTAACAATCGATTTACCGTAAAAAAAATATAGTAGCAGTGCTGTTTTGTCTTCATTTCCGAAAAACAACAACAACAAAAAAAAAAAACAATCGTTAAATGCTGGTCTTGTCAACTTGTTAAATCTACTGTTCGTTCTTGTTTGATATTACTTAGTTAATTTCTTTCGCATGAACTGTGAACCGTTTTACAGAAAAAAATTTTTTTGTATCAAAGCAATGAATTCCAATTATGTGCTAAAGCAATTGCATGTAGCAAAAAGTGTTGTAGAAAAGCGTGTGAGGTGTGCAACAACAGCAAAAATAACAACAACAAAAAAACTCGATACAGTTGAATCAAGCATTTGATGTTTTTTCTGGCTACCCATCTCAGCATTTTGAGTGAAATGGACGAGCTCACCGTTTCGAAGCCCAAGTCAAGCTTAAAACAACTGTAAAGTGACGCAGTGTGATTCCTTAATCAGTAATAAACAGTTGAAAGTCACTTGAATTTTGCAAACACAGCACTTTGAGGAAGAGAACGAGAGAACGAGAGAGGAAAACATCAACATACGAAGAAAAAATTGTGAAAACAAACAGAAAATTCTAAGAAGAAAAATTGTGTGTGTTTGTGTGTCTGTGTGCATCAAGTGATTTGATGTCAAAGAAGAAGAAGAAATAAACAAACCAAAAGAGAAAAGAAAGCGAAAAACAAACAACAAACCACATTTTTGGTGGCAAAAATGTACAGATAAACATTGGCTGTAATACAATTAGTAAAAAAAAACACAGAAGAAACAGTGATTCTGAAGTGCTGTAAACGTCTGATAAATTTGTTGTAGCAAATATTCGGCACACGCATTTCGAGGCAGAGTGTGTTCGATATACAGCAAAATCCAATCGAAAAAACATCCATCATGAAACATGATAACGAACAAGTATTATTATGACGGAGCGAATTGATAAAATATCAAAGGTGAATGTTCCAAAAGTGAGTGTCCGTGCGCGCGCCAAGACTTTCCCAACACCCTCCTCCTCATGCCAACAGCAACAACAACAACAAAACAACTATAACGAGTGGAAAAAACAAGCCATTAATAGTGTCTCAAATGAACGAAATTCGTCTATCGCTTTTGTTGATTGAAATACCCATATTCAACGGGCGCATAGAGTCTGATTTGGATTGCAAGGATATACAGTTATAGTTGTTGTTGTTGGTTTTTTTTTATGTGTGTCTAATGAAAAGGGGCTATCTAACTTGCACAACCTCGACAAAATAAAGAAAACGAAAACAAAAAAGAAAATCACATTCGGTAAAAGTTCGGATATTGAACCGATACGACATCGCAGTAATATTGAGTTGCGATTCACAGCGATTTCTAGTTTCTCTGCTTTCGTCGTTTTTCTTTTATATCGTCAGGTTCCACCGAATAGAGAGAAGAAGAAAAAAAGAAATATCCAATTTTTCGTTCTTTCATAAAACTTAACTAATATCGCGTCTATTACATACAAGTTACTCATAACTGCGACACAGCTGAGAACTATTTCGAATCGATGTGGCCATTACCCCTTTTCGGTGGATGTGCGCTTATTTTTAGCAGCAATTTGTTGAAACCTCAACTAGTCTTTCGTCCGTATTCTGCATTTGCATTGAAATTTTGCAAAAACTAACAACAAAAGCGACGGGAAAGAAACAGACAGCCAAAGTGATTGAGGGAAATTTTTAATTTTATATCTTATACAAGTATTTTCGCAAAGTGAAGAGTCATTTTTGTTTATTGTTCGTTCAATGAAGTGAATAAAGGAATCTTCTACACAACAGCATATCACAGGACGCTAGACATTAAACTACACAAAAATAAATTGCAGATTGAGAGAGGGAGAGAGAAAACGAAAAAGAAAAACAAAAACGAGACCGAGTTCAGGGAATATTGTGCGAACAAGAAGAGGAAATGTGTCAAAATGCATTATAGTAAATGTTTATTTGTTGGAAACAATGGAGAGCTCGACGAGCAAAACCAAACACTTGAATAACTTTAGCTGGCAAGACTCTACGTTTGTGTATTTGGATAGGAAATGGCAAAGCGATCCTCCAAGAATACCATGGAATGGTGCTTAAAGTGGTATAAAACACCGAAATAAAACGATAAGACCGAGAGAGAGAGAGAGAGAGAGAGAGAGAGAGTCGTTAGCAAGAGAGAAAGGGAGTAAGGAGTAAAACGAAACGGGGGATAGAAGCAAACCTGCAGAAGCCAGAAGCTAAAATAGGAAGAACACACACAAAACAATAGCCGAAAGAAATGCCGTTCGGTCGTCGTTCACCGTTAGAAACATTGGCGCTACCGGGTGCAATGTTGGCCTATAAATACAGCCAATTCCGACAGCGTCGCCGTGAAGCAGCCAGTCGTCGTGTCACTGAAAGAGAACTATCAGCTTTGCATCACAAAATCGTAAGTTTCAACCCTCGAATACAATTTCACTTCTATCTGTTCACTATCGTACAAATCATATACAACATATTCAGTCGCAATTCAAAATATTACTTTCAATTTGTATTACAACCGAATGTGCAGAAAGATGGTAAAAGAAAAAAAAACACGCACGCACACTAGAAATTTCGAATTCATAATTACATTCAACATTCAGGTGGTCATAACAAATGTATCCCCTATGCGTGCAAACAATGGATGCGAACAACATACACATACTCTCTCTCTCTCTCTCTCTCTCGCTACATAGGTACGAGAACAATTTGTTGTTGTCGTTGCTGTTTTGTTTTATTTCGCGAAATCCTTCAAGCACGCAACTTTTCAATTTAGTGCACTTGAAATGGTAACGACTAAAGTAAAATGTTCATGTCGATATACTAGTTTACGTGTAGTAAAGGAATGAAAGTTCGGTGTTTGTGTGTGTTTCTCTCTCTCTCCCTCTCTATCCCATATGAATTGAATTTTTTTTACCTTGGTTGGGGATTTCAATTCTCGCTCGTTGTGTTTGTGCGGCGTGCGCGTTTTCTCTCTGTTTGTCGCGCGCGCCCAGCGCACACTGACTTCATGTGTGGACTTTCTTTGGCAAATGGATTTCATTGCTTAAATTAATACGAATGAATTCTTTTTCTATTTTTCCTCCCTTCATTTCGCCATTTCGAATGTGGAATGAATGCGCCGATAGAAAGTGAGCGAGTGATTTATTTGTAATACTTACCCCGGCTACATTTATTTGAATACCAGCCCTTCCAAGGTCGACTAGTTGTTCTATAGTCGCGCACAGATAATTTCGATCCACTTATTTTGGAATAGATTAAAGTCGATTTGATTTCATGCAAACATACTTCTCTTGTTTTGTATGTGTGTGTGTATATTGTCATTAAAATCGTATGCTGATAACGGTATACCTTGGCGTTTGTCGTATCCTTTGACTTCGATTCACCTTTTTTCTTCCTTCGTTTCATTGTTAACTGATTACTTCCCACCATATTCCAAATCGGTATTTTCGTCTATATGTATTGAAAACGATTTGAAAACAACGACATAATAACATATACGTATATAATTTCATGTATGGAATATAAATACGATTAGACTAAATGGCATTTTTTCTTCGACATGGCGAAACAGAAAAAAAAATATTTAGGTGTGCCCAATTTTAGCATAAATTCCCAAAGTCACGGAAATTATACTGAAAACAACAAAATAATATGAAGAAAAAATGGCAACAGCAGCTATAGAATCTAGCAGGAGGGAAGAAAACAACATTGTCCTAAAAAATACATTAAGCACTTTTGCTCTTACACACACACACACACACACACATGATGACTATGATGGGAGGGGGTGATCGAAATAACAACAAACGATACAACACAGCTTTTCTATACACAGAGCTGTATTCGTGAACCATTAATGTTGTTTTTCTTATTTTTGCATACGAAACTTAAATGATCTAAATAATTAATCAGCACATGATTACGTCAAATTCAAATGTGATTGGATTAGACGAATACGACGTGGCTTAAGTGAACTGAACGGTATCGTTTCGATGTATAAGTCCACTCTACTCGCACAAACCGTGTCGAGCTTTTTGAACGTAAGTTGCCATACGTTGAGAATATAGTGTGACTCTCATGAAAATCACTTGGAAATAAATGTATATAAGCTAAACACGATGAATGATAACACTTTCAACAATCATTTTCAAATCACTCGCTTTTTTTATTGCTGATATCAAAACAGATTTAATACTATCTTACCATCTAGTCATTTCCTTCAATTATATAGTTACTTAGAATTTGATTCGAGAGAGAGAGAGAGTAGAAAGCATGAACGGCAATCATATTACTATATTAGCTAGTCTAGCGTGCTTTTGTATCCAAATAGGCAAAACCGAAAAAAAAAATGACCGAATTCTCTCTTGTATTCGGTTTGTATGTCATTTTCATTTCCTACGTATTTCGATTGATTCTATCACAAATTGAGCTTATTATCGATGCATGACATTTCCCACTGTTTTCCGTATGAAAGGCACCTTTCAACAAAAAAAAAATCTTCATTTGTTTACACTCGATTCAATTAGCTGTTTTTTCCTCTCTTTTTATTCTTCTGCTTTCCTTTATAAGCCAGAACATTGATTTTTGTTTGCTTTCCTTTCACTTTCTATTTCTATCACATTCATCGCGAACCGAAGAACATATTTTTCAAACTATTTACAATACAGCCATATCGTATACGTTGCTAAGGAAAATCGATTACAAATCATCTAATTGCTTCATGCAAAATGAATGACAGATTCATAAAATAGTACGATTTACCGTTTGTATAATTATATTTTATGGTAGTGCCTTCAATCATTTTGTCACTGTGTGAAAATTATACATTTCTTCTACGTGAAGAAAGGAAAAGAAAATGAAAAACATGGGAATAAATGTCTTCAATACACAATATATATATATAAAGAGAGAGAGAGAGAGAGAGAGAGAGAGAGAGAGAGAGAGACGTGAATACAACGCTTCGACTATGACTAACACTTTGTTTCAACTTGGAAGAATGAAATCTTAGCATAACTTTGGGCGTTATCTCTCCGTTCAGCAACTGCCAAACAACGGATTTCAAAACAAAACGTGCTAATCATTTTGATTTATTTCACGATCGTTAATTTGATTGTTTTTTCTTCTTCTTTATTTCATGCTTTTGTAATGGTTTGGTTGCAAAACACAAAAATATATACAAACGCGCAACGCATACACACCGTCAATGAATGACAATGGGGGGCTGGAATACATCAGGAACTAATCTTCAAACTAGAAAATTGTCACCTCGACACGGTAATACAATAGGCATATACACACAGAGACCATTTCCTCTCTCGTTCTGTCGCTGCCGAAATTTTGCGAAGTGCGAGTGTACGTATATTTCAGTTTGAGGCGAAGGGGAGGACGGATTTGAACTGTCGTGTCATCCAATGAATTTGCATGACATTTGATTGATGATCTTATATCCAAAGTGGCGAATCTTTTACGGTGGCACTAGTTATTTTTACCAAATGGCGGTTCACTATTCGTCAACAAATAGAATTTACCCCGTAACCTATAAACAGAACAGAGGATCAATCAAATAACCGAGAAAAGAGGCAAATTTTCAACACACACTACAATTAACCTCAACCACATTTTTTCTTTCGCAAACCTATTTTTTCTCCCTCTCGCTCCCTCTCTCTCTCTCAATCTCTCCTCTAAGCAATATTTAGTTGAATACACCTTGTTCTAATGCACAATTTTTGGTTGAAAGCATTTGTTCTGTTGGTCGGTGTGTATGTGAGTGTTGTTGATTCGTTCCAGTTTACCAGTGGTTATAAATAATCAAGGAACAATTTTGAACGATGCGTCACGGAAACTCGAAATTGAGCGAGAAAAAGAGAAGAAGAACGGAATGGCATGGACAGAGAGAGAGAGCGAGTGAGAAAGAGAAAACGGTGTACGCACGATGTTCCTGAATGTGGTTGCTTTTTGTTGTAGCTCGCTGTTTTTTTTTTTTGGTTGGTGCGGCCAATTGTCAGTGGTTTTCAAAATAAAATATATGCCTAAGTGCTAAATTTACCTTCTATCTGCATTGTAACCCATATAAGCTGAAATTTTTTTATCACAGTTTATTTCAGTTTGATTTTTTGTTGCCAGCAACGACTTTGGTTCACAGTGTGTTGCCAAAAAAGCTTTTGGCCGTTGTATCGATTCAATAAAATACTCCCAAGCCCTCTGATGACTGCAGCCAACTGGTAATATGGTTTTGTGAAGTGAATCAGTTTGTGTTTGCCGCGCGCGTGTGTATGTAGTAGTAGTAGAGAAGAAGTGTATGGAGTACAAAGGCAATCGAGAATGGGCCCGAAGATCCAATGGCACAATTCAGCATAAATTGAAACACATGCACACACACAGCACATGAAGAAAGCCCGAACGGAATAGAAAGATAAATATAAATATTGTTTTGTTCAACATTCAACTATAACGATAGCAATGCGTAAATTCGAATGAGCAAGTACAACAATCGTAAATCGTTGTCATTCGAATTTCCGAGCAAAAAGAGCGAAATGTTACGTTTGCATTTAATTAGAAATGAGAAGGAACAGAAGAAGCCAGTCTATGCAATTTTCTATGTTTTAACATATTACTTTGGTGCCAAATTTGAATTTGCGCTTCGAATTCTATTCTTGGCAGTGTGATGCATTGCGAAAACAAAGAAAAAAGCGATAGCACTCGATGTGTGGGAAATGGCTATATCGACTTACCCACAATGCTATACCATCGATTTTTTGACAATTCCTGCTTGGCACAGCCCGGTTGCAATGGAATACCTTGGTTTGGATACCAATCGGCGTGTCCCATTGGCCATGGATAACCCAATACACCACCATCTAATTGAAATTTTCACGATTTTCGTTTATTCTATTGAAAGAGCCACCGAAATATGCTTGTAATCATTCAAACCAATTGGTTCTATTTTTAATTACCCGTGTGGATAATGTCCACAAAATCAGCGGATTCAGCCGATAGTCGAGTCGATGGATTTATAAATTGATAGAGCGGGAATGCCGGATCTAAACCTTTTCATTTATGAAGAAAAAATCAAAAACGGTTTAAATTATGAATGAAGAACAATTTTTCTTCTTCTGTTTTTCTCGAAAAATTCTCGGAATATTATTGCTATTTTAAAATCGTTCGCAGTGTTCCTATTTTTCATGTAAAATTCATATTTGATTTGTCTTCTGACTAATATATCATTTCCCCCCTGAAGTCTCACCAAAACTAATAAATCTTGTTCATGGGAAAAACACGTTGCATACCTGTTATTCTTGGTAGACTAATCTTCCATTCTTTGAGCGCTTTTCCAGCGAATCCAGCCACTTCAGCCCCTAAACTAAATTCAAAATTGTTCACACAGTCGTCAGTATTTGGAAGCGAATAAAAAAATGCCGTCTTTTCTTTGGAAAAGGAAAAATCATGAATTTTACTCATACCTGAAACCAATCACATGAACACGATGCATATCGACTCCATTTTCATTGAGAAATTTAATGAAACGCGCCAAATAACGCCCCACACGCGGTACATTCTGCAGAGAGTTCCAATACCTGTTTTTTTTTTTTCATTTTTTCCCCACAGTTTTGTACGTCATCGACGTCGTCGCCAAATAAACAAGCAAAGGAAAAAAAAAGCAATGAATACTTTAGTATAACACACATATTGTCTATTTTCCCAGGAAGGAAAGAAGAAGAAAAGACGAAGTGAAATAAAAAACGGTATATGGGTGATTCATTACCATGGTAAAGCAGTAATAGGGCTCCAATCCACTAGCAAAATATTGTAGTCATTTGCTTTCAGGAATGCTATCATAACACGAATGCAGTGGTAATCAATTGCAATGTTTGAGCAATACGTCAGATACGGAACGAAACCCAGAATGAAGAGAGCAAAAGTAGAAAAAAAATTGCATTATTATTGTGTTTGACATTCAGTTGTTTTTCTATCAATTTTTTTTTTCGTCTTCTTCGTCTTTTCATTCCGTTGCCGTTTCCAGCACAAGAATGAATTGCATTAATTAATATTGAAGTGAATTGCAGCTGTTTGTTTTTATGTGTTTACCATCGCGTATCTCTTGACTGCTTTGTCCCTGGCCGCCCGGCACACGTTCCGAAAATCCGTGCAAGTAAACGATTAATGCATTTGATTTATTGAAGTGTGAAGATTCCAACCGCGTTTTATCGGACATATACAGTACGTCGGCGTTTATCGGATTTGATCTAAATGAGCAGATAGCATACACAAAAAGGGAGAGATATAAGAGAGAAAGAAAAACAAACCATCAAAATTTTTCACACATTGGAAATTAGTCCATTTCAGTGGACGCCCCTCATCACACCATCACCACCACAACCATGTTGGAAATGATGATAAATGCGAATCAATCACCAAAATTTGAACTTGACGCATTTGAATGAAAATATCATACATTTAAATGACACAAAAAAACATATTACCCACTGACATAAAAATATATCTATTCGACGGTGGATCGATAGATAATGATTACCTTGTGTATAGCATAAATTTGATGTCTCTTGGCTCCCGGATTGGGCAACAATTATGGCAATCACCTCGAGGTGCAGGCGAATAAATTACTGGTGAACCACCTATTAATCATAAAACCATCAAATCAAAAAATGAAAAATCATAAACCATCAACGAAACGGTAGAGAAAAAGAGAGAGAGAGAGAGAGAGAGAGAGAGACACACACGCATGGTTTTATTCTCCAAATAGACACACATCCAATGGGAGACTATGTTGTGTGCTCTCCAAAATTGTAAGGCCATGGCCTAGTAAATTGATTGAAGAATAATATCACAAGTTTCAATGACTGTTTTCGGGCTCTTTTACTTCATTCATTACTTTAATTATAAAGAGCAGCCAACGATTGGTTCGGACAAAAAAAAAACCAGTACGACTGTTGTTGATATAATTGAATCGAAAATGTCCCCAAAATTGGAAGATAGGACACATAATTGTGTGCTGTCAGTGTGTGTTGACAGTCAAAGATCAACATTTCAATGTTCTACCCATCATTATGCACACTTTATTAATCCCAATTGGGCTTGGATGGATAGATGTGACAACACACTCAATGCAATAGTGGCTTGGATAATGTGCACACTTGTTGGTAAATATGGATATTATCGTTTCGCCAACATTTCCATAAGTCTTTTCCTAGTGGCGAATTTTCGGATGTCGTTGAGGAAATGAAAAAGAGAATAAAAATTGAAATTATTATAACAAGTTGGGAATTGAATGCGTTGTTGAAATTATAACAATTATGTGGAAATAGAACAAGTGGAAAAAGGGAGTCATACAATCATTTGTTGCTGTGTGGTTTGCATCAGATCAAGAACACTGATTGTTCGATGCTGTTCGAAGCATTTGTGGTGCTCAGAGATTAAAGAGAGCGCATTTTCATATTTCAATGACGAACATTTCAGAAAGTGAAACACGCAATTTTAAACCCATCAGAACGATATAATGTGAGATTAGTGTGCAACCAAATCAGATCACATGCTCAACACCAGTGCATATTCTTGTTGAGCCAAAGAAGCATGCTTCCTGTCAACATTAGCGTTGAATTTCATTTCAAATAGTAATTACATTAATGTAATTCGTTTTTCTTGCCGTAGCACACACACACATTCGCAGATTACCATTTTTGATAAATTGTCATTTCGAATGCCGTTGCGTGATGCAAATTTTTCACTTTGATTCAAACCATTTTAATTACCATAATAACGATTAATCAACAAATGAGCATTCTCTTCAGTTCTCTTTTGAAAATTGTTTCGAATGAGAATGCCAACAATGTGATTCGGCGTTTGTGTTAGCGCGTGTATGTGTGTGTGTGTGTGCGAGTGTGATATCTGTGATAAAAATGGCAGTTGACAGGTTGTTGGGTGTCATAGTTTTCATATCCTTTATTGTTGGCCTGTTTTTTGTTGTCGTTGCTTGCACCATCTCTCTATCTACGTTTGCACATCGAAATTCATGAGTTTCACTCGATGTGTGTAAAATGAATACCATTGCCCGGCATTTAATGTATAAAATAGCTGTACTCACCAAAATATAGCGTGAATAATGAACAAAGCGCTAATCCCGGTCCCGATAACGTCATTGTTTACTGATATGCTCTGAATTCTGCATAAACTAGTTATACACTAGCGATATGGCAATTTGTATCGAAAAATACAATAAATTTGTTGCTTCTCATGCAAAAAGGTTTCTGGTTTCTCTTGCTCCGTGTTGCTGTTGCGTTTTTTGTTGCTGTGGTTCGATGTGTGTACAACAACCGTTCGCTTTTTATTTGTCGATGCTAACTTGTGTGACAAGACTGTGTTTTTTCAATCAATACCTCATTTCCTTTATATATATACACACACACACACACACACTATATCGAAATTGATTATTTATGCAATGTGTATGTGGGCGTTTAAGTTTTTTTTTCTTTCGATTTCCTTATCGATCTGTTGGTCAAACGTACAAAACAAAGAGGAAAAAAAGTATCGGATTAAAAAAAAACAAAAGATTGGCTGGTTTCAGTGAGAATCTAAATTTTTTCTTCGTTCCAATTTTGAAAATGGCTCAAAATTAAGCACGATTTTTCCCCTACCTTTAATTTCTTCTAACGGTGATATCGAATTGATTTATGACACCACGAAAATCCACACCTGTCGCATACCAATAAATGATTTATTTCAATGTATTATTCAAAACGCAGTCGATTTTCGTTGTGGTTATCATTAAGAAGCTTCGAGCGGGATTATTTGAAAATGTTTGCCTATTTTGAGGTATGTGGGAAAATTTGGTAACACTTATTTGCATTTCTTTGAACTCACATTTAGAAAGAAAAAAAAAGACGATTTAGCATATAATTTGAGTATTATTCAACTGTCTAATCAGTGCCAGACAGAAAGTTCCAGACCAAAGAATGCTGATCAGCGAGAAAGTACTTTCGAAACTGTTGGGATCGCGATCGTTTACACCAATTAATCTCAGTGAAATTCTTTCAATTTATTCTCAATTGAGATTTAAACAGTAGAATTGTTACATTTATTTCATTGAACAAAAATGGTTCATCCATAAGCTCACAAGAAACACAATCAAATAACAAAAGAAACGAACTCACACGACAATTCCGACGAACTTTGCGAATGACATACAGAACGAGAAAAAAAAACGATTAAGTCACTTGTTTGTTTGTTTTTACTTTGATCTAAAATCACGGTAAATAAAATGCGCTTTGCACATTTTATGCGCTTTTTCCCTCCGTTGTTTTTTGTCTGTCTCTAAATTGCACACTACACCGCTTGGAAGATGTGTGTTCGCTGTATCGTTGTAAAATATTGATCAACTTTAACCGTCAAATTGCTACTGTTGCTGCTTGCTGCCGCTGCTGCTACTATGTTGTTATTGACGATACAAAAGAGTTCAAAATCTAAGCGTTATTTCGTGCTGTTCGCATTTGTCTTGAACGGTGCAAAATGTTCTGAACATGCTCAACTCGATGAACCAAATGATCGATGGTGTATTATGTAAATGCATAGCGGCGTGCGTGTGTGTGTGCGCGCGCTCTCTCATAATTTAGTGGGGCAACTATAACTGATGTTAACTCACATTTCTCAGCTGTTTTATTCGGACGAGAGACGAGACGAGAGACAAGCCAAAAACTATGTTGGAACAATGCCGAAGCGTAATTGTTTCCGATCGGCCGATTGCCATTGTCTTTGTCGTGCTTTTTTTTATATGCGTATATTTTAGCACATTCATAATAAGTCGCGCGCACCGTTTAGCCTCATAGTTTTTGTTGTTTTTATTATTTTCTGTTTCATTCGTTGTATGCCAGACGTACCTAGATTCAACGACAACGACAAAAATATTAGCGAATGCCGATATGGTTTTGAATATCGTAACATGGCTTAATAGTGCTCCCACTTAGCACATATATGCCAATATGATTAAAATGCTAGATGAATTTCGTATATATAAAGTCTGTGTGTGTGTGTGTGTGTGTGTGTGTGTGTGTGTGCGAGCGATGGGGCTGTTCTGCTGGAAAATTGCACTCAAATTAATTGAAATGAAATGACGAAGATGAGCGCATGCAAATGAATATTTCACACTCAACATCTATTTAGATAATTGACTTACATTTTGCTGATTACATTTTATTCGACTTTATTTCTACCCATTCTCCAATTCTTCGTAGCATTTGATGAATTTTACATTGCGATATCACATACCTGGGCTGCTGCCATGTTTCAAAATGGCCTATCATAAAAGCAGACATACGTATCATTTTGGGTACTCACTCATACTATGCGCATGGCATTCATTCTTGTTGGGCTAATGGTGTACAATATTGCAATATTCGCATTTGATGACCAAATGAAAGGAACATCCGTAGACGAATGAATAACAACAACAACAAAAAACATGCACACAGCGTGAGCAAGAGGGAGAGAAGGAGACACACACACAAAAAGATAGAGAGACTTTGTTAATACCGTAAATGTTTGACGAAACAGCTCATGAATATTTACACCGTTTAGTGCAATGAACTTGCATTTACCTGATCTCTCAAAAACAGCAACATTTCGGTTGTGTGTGTGTGTTTTTTTTTAATCTTATGCGGAAGCACTTTCTTATACTCGTAATTCATTTGATGTAACAATGTGATTTAATGCCATGCCTCTGTTGTTCATTAATTAAAAGTTTATTTTTAATTGTTTGTCTATCTGGTTGTTTAACAAAGTTTTGCCAATCTTTTTTTGCTGTGCTCATTTTATTTTGAAAGAAAAAACTTAAAAGTTGAAGGTCGCTATAACTGTGAGTTTGTCGTGAATGCATGAGTATCGGTCAAGGTTTCATAAATTTAACGTAAAGTAGTATCATTCATGAATGATAATAGAAGAATATTCAGTCAATTATTCGGATTGAAAGTATGTGTGTGTGTGTGTTTTGAAATCAAATGCTTGGACTTGAAGTTCACTGTCAGTTTTATTTGAAAATATTATTACACTCTTTAACACATTCACAAGAGTAAGGACTTTTCTACATTACATTCTATACAAAACACATCCACTCATTCGATCGATCGAATAATCACGCTAGAAGGAAACGCAACAAACGACCACTTTCTGTAGAACAAGCAATTTGTAACGATTGTCACTCGCATTGTTGTATCCGATTTGTCAAAGAAAGTTTTACTTTCTCGGGCAACATATTGTTTTTAACGACGATGACAACGAATGATAATGATGATGATGATGATGATGACACCAACAACCGAACACAAACGATAAACACTGAAAGATAACCGTTGACGTCATGGATTTCCCATTTAAATTAAAATTAAAATCTCTCTGTTTTTTTCTGCACAGGATAAACTTTTAAATAAATTGGAAGAGAGCGAACCGGAGCCGCCCACATCACAAGAGGATGAATGTGTCATCTGTATTAATGCTCGTGCTACAATGCAAACATCACCATGCGGTCACCGGGTTGTTTGTCGCCGGTGTTTTGTGAAAACGATACAGAGTGCTGTTGCACAACGTTTGCTACCGTTACGATGTGTCATTTGTCGGGCACGCATCAATCGTCTTATATCCGGTTCGGCAACATGGCGTTTACAAGAATCGGCCAGCAATTATTCCGTTGGTACATCGAGAAGTTGGGCTGTATGTATTTTCCGCTTTGAAACAGCGTTGTGTTGAAGCATTTAATTTGAATAAATGCGCGTGTTCAATTTCAAGTAATAAATGTTCATTTCAACGTGTTGATTCTATTTTTAGGCACCGAGTACCAGCAAAAGTGCCGGAGTTCGTGTAGCACAATCGGCTAGTTTATACTCAATGAGCTCAGGGTCATCAAATGTATCTGGTAAGACCGTTTTCTATTTTCCATCTTCTTCTTCTTCTTCTTCGTCCTCCTCTTTCTCTTCCATTCAACAAATCGAATGAAACTGAAGAACATTTTCTGAATTTTGATCCAAACGAAAGGGAAAAAGATCTCATCAAATATTATTATTCTCATTGATATTCCAACAAAATTCACCGAAAACTCTATCGAACCCATTTTCTACTCATACACACAGGCATTTCATACACATCCAATCGATCGAATAGCTCCGAGGCATCATGTTCAACAAATAATTCCGGAAACTCTGGAACGTCTTCCGTATCATTATCAAGTAAAAGTAGGACGGATATTCATAATCATCGAAAGCATGATAACTGTGGCAGTCACTGCCTTGGCGCAATACCGCGCAATCCACAGTACAGTAGTCAACAGCATTTGAAGACGATGCAACCGAAATCACAACCGATCCATCCGCAGCAACAGCAACAATATCACACAACATCATCATGTACCAGTCCACAGGCTAAACCAATACTATACATTAGCAAACGCAATTACACGCCAAAAAGCGCTTCCTATAGCATCTTTTCCAATGATATGCAAAATCGGCTGCCACCCATCAAAGAATTCCGAAGTCCGACTAAAGCGTCCATTTCATCACCGTCACGAGTGTCATCGGCTCCACGATTGAGGTAACGTATGCATGATCCATCCATCGAAACCGATTGTCCATTTCGACTGATTGAATTTCATTTGTTCGACGAAATTTATTTCATTCGCCGAACAAACAGCGTACAATTATCATGAAAATTGACCGCCGGGTGTGTTTGATGAACATTTCATGAAAGTCAAAATCATTACAATTTTGTACACCTACCAACATATATCTGGCGAAAGCTGATTCAATTATCGAATTAACTAAAATCATATTTACGGAATCTGAATCCGTAGTTGACCGCTTTTGAATAAATATATTCGAGTATCGAACGAAAACGATGAGCACGAAAATGTAATTAATCGCTTTATTAAAATGACGAGCTCGTCAATTTATTGAGCGATTTTATTAATTTTATAGTTGATATTATCACTGCTATTTTGTTTGTTGTTGTTATTTTACCAATTTTGTTAATTACTCTCCCTATCTCTCTCTCTCTCTTCTTTCGTTCTCGTTGCTATTTCTCGATCGAAAAACCAATTAGGTTTGCTTCATATACATCGCAAAAATCAAAAACTATATCATCCACGCAATCACTCGATACCGTTCCTCTATTGGGTAGCCAACCAACGTCCACAAGCAATTCTCAATCGGCCGTTTCGAAATTGGGCATGACATCGAAAGTGGCTCCAATCAGAGCAGCGAAGCCAACCAGTACACGTGCACTGGCTTCACCGACTGATAAAATACCGAGCATAACGACACAACCACCACCACCACCATCACGACCATCATCAACATCGGCGTCGTCATCAACGTCAACGTCACGCAATCCATTTTTCATCATTTCGCTGAATAAAAGTAGCAGCAAAAATACTGCTGCAAATGCTGCTGCCGCCGCCGTTGTCGCCGAGCAATCAATATCGTTGTCGTCAAAAGAATGCAATAATAAAATCAATGAAAAAATGGTAAACGAAAACAAAAGAAATGAATATTCAGCGGAAAAGCGGAAAAAAGAGGAAAAACTGCGCTTAAAAGCTGAAAAAGAAGCGAGAAAGGTAATAATTAATTTGCTATGACAAATAACAACAACCAACAAGCGATTTAAACACATGCCAATTTTGTCACTCGCAATTCGGTTTTTTCGGTCGTCATTTCTGTTTTCTTTTTTGTATGCATTGAATGTGTGTCGTTGTTGTTGTTGTTGTTTTTTTTTTTGTTCGATTGATAATCTGTTTACCCCCATTTTAATTCCCACTGAACAATCCACTTCTTTGAAGTTTAATTTTAGCAATACGATGTTTTTTGTGTTCTTCTATTGTTCAACATCACTGATGCGTATCTCAAACGGTTGTTTTCTGTTTTTGTGTTCTATTTCTAGGAGGAAAAACGACAGGCAAAAGAGGAAAAGAAACGTGGCAAAAAAGATGTCAAATATTTTTCTCTGTTATGTGATAATAAAACTGATAGCAAGTCAAAAAAGTAATACAAAAACGAAAAATAACAAACCCGTTTAAAAAATGGAAAGAAGAAGAAAAAAAGACGACAGAAGAAATGGAGAAAGAAAAAATATCCAATTTTGTTTTTTAAAACTGATTTTTCGCCTATTAGAATGAATTTTCATTGTGTAACATTAACATTTATATACAGTATTAAAAAAAACAAACAAATTATTTACTAAAGAACTTAGAGAGAAAAACAAATAGTTGACAAAAAATAAATGAACGAAAAAAAAAATCTGTTATATTGTTAAACACATTTATTGGAGAAAAGTCAATCAAGTTAGAACGTAGTTCGTATGCGATATGTGCATTTCATGTATTTAAAGGAAGAAAGAAAGAATAAACCAACAAAAATGAAGCATATATTCAAGTAAAAAAATTTATCATACAAACCAAACCAAACACAAGAGAAAATGTTGAATAATCATTAAAGAAAAATCATTCAATTTTAAAACTCAACAAAGATGACATTTTAGGCAACAGAGTTTATATGGATTTCAATTGATGCGTATTCTAGTATGCTGAAAAAGAGTATTTCATTTGCAAAATTTATTTTTTTTTTCTCTCCAAAACATAGAGCAAAATTTGTTTGAAATGCTAAAATTAGCTTGTGTTTAATTTTTGTTATAACAGTTTCTCGGTCTCCCCAAAATGGTGGAGTGCATTCAATTGCTTTAGCATCATTCAAGTGCTTTTTTTTGCCGTGCGCCAAAATAATAAACCCAAAAACTAATTCAAATCCAATTGAATTGGAACAAACGCAAAAAAATAAACAATGTTAAATGTTAGATCTACTTATTCCACATCAATCCAAAGAAATAAACAAAATGAAAAATCCAAAATACAGGAAATCGATCTCATACATTTGTTCATCGACTGAATGCCAAATTTAACTAACACAATTTTAAAAAAAAAGACTCTTGAAAAGAAAGGACAAGGCTTATTCTGACAAAAGACGGAGCAGATACATTTCCGTGATACACACGAATCAAACACACATCGAGCTGTGTAAACTGTTTGAATATTGAAGAAGACTACAACTAAGAAAAAAAAATTCCATGAATTTTACGCAATTTATCGCTTTGTGTTTTTCTTTTCTTCTTTTCAAATCAACTTAACAATAGTGAGGCAACAACCAACAAATCTATTTCAAAAACCAATTTCGCCAAAAATCACGTACTTTAAAACAAAATAAATGACAAAATTAAAATGAATATTTTTGCGTTTTAATCGATTTTTCTTTTGTGTTAAAAGTTTCAGTAGCATGCGTGTCGATTTGAAGAATTAAATCCAAACAAAAACTGTATATGTTTTGACAACGCGAAGGTATTTGCGCGCAATTCATCAATTTTGGACTGATACTATCAGTCGCACAGCTATGGGACGTAAATAGGTAAGTTGTTATAAGGTTCATTCATATGATTTAGAGACGAACCATATCTGTGTGATACAGACTGTGTCTAATTTTGAATTATTGTGTCTAATTTAACCCAACTATTGGCCCTTATGCGCACGTCTAATCTATCAAAAGGACACAAAGATCTTCCTCTTTTGCTAAATAACTTGCCTCACCAACCGTTTCTCCGCTTGCACCCGTTCACAACAATGGAATCGATGCTAAAATCATAATTATTTTCGCTGAATAATGAGAAGACAGTCGATTGATTGGCGATGAAAAGAAAATCGGTTATCAATGAAATAGAACATTTAGATAAGAAAAGAATTGCATCTATAAAAAATGAAAAAAACAATCCATCTAATTCTCAAATGCACTGCAGTCTTATTGGCATGCGTCAAGATAAGTTTTTATTGAATAAATACATATTTGGATTATTAGAGACTTTCTACAGAAAACATTATTCATTCAGTTGTATGTTGTAATGTAAAAATTGTTTGAAACATGTTTTATTATTGATGCTGTTGTATGAGAATTCAAAACGGAAAGACGAGTAAATCATGAATCTACTTTCCTGCCAAGAAATTGTTCAAACATTGATTGAAAACACCACTATATTTTTCTGGCAAATCTCCTTTACATCCATAGCCGCCGCGATAATGGATAAGAGCATGATCGTAGCAGTCAATTCGGCCGTCACCGTTGCAATCTTGACCGAATCTATGTGAAATGCAAAATAAAACGCATGAATTAGTTTATTGCCACCAATCGCAACGACGGGTGTTGTTGCCTGGCATCTGGTGAATATTACCTTTGCATGTAGCCTTGAACAGCACTTGCCGCACAGAATGGATCATTTGCACAGTTGGCGTAGGCTGGAAATGGATAGAAGAGTAAAGAAAAAGTCAAGCAAAGTCAAGTTTAGAGTGCAATGTCAACGAACTAGTCTGAAACCGAAGCTGTTTTTTTTTTGCTCACGCTTTAATAACGTACAAAATATGTACGTGTCAAGCACATTAAATAAATATTTATTCGTAGGGCAAATGGTTTGCCATTACTTGAACGAAGAATAGATTCACACGCTAAAAAAGAAAGAACGTAAGACACAAAAAAGAGCGAAACATACCTGATTCGGCTGTTGGTGATTCACCGGCTATAGTTGGCTTGCCTGCATCGCTCCAGTAGCCCCATGTGAGACGGAACAAACCACACACATCTCCATTGCAAATAGCAGTTCGATTGCAGTTGCTTATAGCTTCACAAATGCATCCCAAGCAAGTTTGCGTTACCGGTTGATCCTGCCCTGAAAATGATACAAAAAAAAATGCATAATGTTGATTTTATTCTCCCTTTAAAGGCTATTAAAACAATGTGCGTGGTCGATAAAAGGTTATTACCACCTCATCGCACTGTGTGCATGTAGCTGGTTTGGCTATCTTGCTTTTAGTGCTTCTTACTTAATATAAATAGTTTATGATGGTCACGTATTTGTCAATGATATTGCTTATAATAAATATGATAACAGATGGGGCCCCATTTTTATGCAAGAATCTTTTATAAATTATTAAGCTAGACACTGCGTGAAAACCCAATCGTTGCTGCTGCTATTGTTGTTGCTGATGTTTTTTTTGTTTTGTTTTGTATGTAAGCCGATAATGTTGATGGTCTTGTTTATTCAAAACTGGTTCGCACTTAACTTAACTTCAACAACAAAACACTGATATTCCTCGAATCTATGAATATCTTGGTGAGCCAATTTATATCCACACAAACTAAGGATATCATCGCATTGAAGTCGAGTTTGTTTTTAGTGCGATATACATACGGAACAAGTGCTTCTTTTTAAAGCAACCGATTTTTATTTATTCATTTTTTTTCTCTTTCGATTTTTTCGTTCGAAAACGCTATTGTGTCTTCGACAATAATGTTGCGCGCAAATGATTTCATAACCTTATAGATTATGCAAATAATTTCCAGTATGAATAGAAAACCAGTCTTTTTTTCGTGCGGTTTTGGAATCATTTGAACATGAACATAACTCAAACTCGGTGTGTAAACTTGTATTCTAATTATGGCTTTGATTTCGATTTAAATGCAATGAACGTGATTATTCCATTCAGATTGGATGTGTACGTAAGCTTTTGTGTTTAGAATTTTCGCTTTAATCGACATTTTAATTTTTCAAATAATGACTACAATTCAAGATTGAGATCAGATTTAGAAAATTTATGGGAACATTTGTAGAATCCAAATGAATTCACTTCGATTTGTTACATATCTTTTGTGCAGCATTCGAAATGTGACGTACAACATGTTGATGAAGTTTTACAAACATTTGAAGTTTCATTGAAATATTCTGACAAAATTCATGTTTGATTTCCCAAAAGAATGAAACTCCTATTCAAATTGCGTGATAAAAATGAAATACCGTAAACTTCCATATACTCTACAGTTTGCTTAATGTTAATTTGTGCAAATGTTCAGAAAAAAACACTAGTCTCAAGCAAGAATGACCCTTTCTATTCTATTTATCTAGAAGAATCGCGTGTGTTATATTGATGTTCGTTTTCTTGGCCGTGGCTTATCTCCGGTTTACTAAAATTTTATACTAAAACCTGTGAAAACGGATCTTTTTGTCAGCATATAATCAAATGTTGATCTGGCGAAACGAATAAAAACGAACAAAGAGATAAACGAAAAGAGAGAGAGAGCGTCAGAAAGTGGAAATTTGAAGGGTAATTTTTAATAATCTAAAGGTTATTTTGTGAAACTAAATGCTTTTTGGATTTTATAATTTGGAAAATAATCACAAATCATCGCGGTTTGGTTGATGTTTATCGATTTTTTTATGCAACTTGACATAGAGTTGTAATTTAATTTACACCAAATGTGAAAATCCAATTTGATAATGATAGAAAATTGAATAAATCATCATGTGAATTGAGCTAAAAATTGTTTATAATTGTTGTCCAATGTTTTAAATACCTTGTTGTTGTGGTGGTTGTGCTTGGCCAATGACTAGATTTACGCCAAACAGTGCAATTAGACAGCTAATTGAAACGACAAATAATTTATTCATTTTCGGTTGACACGATTTGGGATTGGTTCTTTTGCTTCTCAAAAAATCCGCAATTTAAGATCACTTTCTCTTCACTTTTGGGAACGGAATCAATTAAACACGAATTCAAACTAAATGCCACCGAGAAACTGAGCACCGACTATCGAAAATCTGTTCGTCTAATACATTTGCATATCGTTTTATACAAAAGTCGCCCCACCAGCAGCACACCCAACACTTCGGCTGAAAACCGAAGATACACAGATATCTTGCCGACGCACACACACACACACACACACACCTCAGTATCGAAATTCATTGAAATGAGCATTTATAGTAATCTGTTGAATTGATAACTGGCTGCAACGTCAGTTGAGCGAATCAGCGATCAAAGACACAATCGAAGACGAAAAAGAAGAGACAGCAGAAAACATCGATTGTGCGTAGATAGTAATAGTTTTTGAGCTTTATTTTCTTCTTGATGACAACTGTTCAAAATATTCCAATAATGTGAACCTGTTTTTTTTTTTATAGAGGATTGCAATCCTTGATCCGTACCAAGAATTACGTATTGAACTCATAAAAACCGAACGAACGAGGTGGAGGTGATTACACACAGCCGACCTATTAACACCTGTACAGCAATGACATCATCTTTTCGCCGGTTTTGTTATTGGCACAAAGATCCGCAATAAATATATCAGTCTGATGCTCTGATGAGTAGCGAGGCTCCGATTCACATTGTCACAAATAGCTGAATTTTTGTTTATATGACATGACCATCGAAAACAATCGAATATATCAGAATGATGGCAATGACTGTTCACTTTATTTATGGATATGTCGAATTTATTCCGAATGTTCCCAGAAACATCCCAATAAAACACCGTAAGCATCCTGTTTTATTCATTATCTCCTTCATAAATATCCATTCAATTTTGATTAGTTTGTTCCTTGTTTTTTGTATCGTTTTTTTTCGACAATTGCTTGATGTTGTCAGCGATGTCATCATCGTTGAAAATTCTCCTTTTTCTTAAAATAAACAACTCGAAATTCATTCTCGGTCGAGATCACCATTTCGTATAGAACAAATGCAGATTCCTTTTTTTCTCTCTTTGAATCACATGACAAACCGTCATTGACAATGGATCCCATTGAATGGGGCTATCGAAAGATGTCCTTGTCGATATCACTCTTAAATTGCTTCGTAATTGTGTAGATTATTTTTCGATAATTGATTTTCAACCTTATATTTTAACCCTCTAATGCATACAACCGCCTCTAGACGGGCAACATTTGAACACCTGTAGAACATAAACCGTACATCGGATCACATTACTTCAAAAAGAATTTTTATTCGTCAATGTTCTTTCTTTATTTTTGTCTTTGGCAATCTTTGTCTATGTAGTGTGATTGTAATGTAATGAACAAAAATGTGTGCAAAAACAAAAATTTGACAAAATAAATTATTCGAACTCTAAATTAGACACATTTTTGACACTTTTAAACAATGCATTTGATTTTTCTATGATTTATGTCAATCGCATTATCTGAATAAACCATGACGAATCCAGGATAATGAATATTTTTTTTATTATCTTTGGTCAAAAATCAACCAAGTACCAGTACTCCCAGCCCTGGGAAAAATTAATGCATTAGAGGGTTAAAATCAACGTTGGAAACTCGACTTGAAGCTAAATCGTACTTAGCTTAGATTTAATCAAACGTATTAGTTTTCGTCTTAAAAATAACTAAAAACGTTCATGTTTAACTTAATTGATGGCTACAAACATTGCCTATATACATTATACAAATAATAACTGTAAGAAATGCTTGTTTAAATCTGGTACTAATTTTCATTTTTGATTGAAAAAAAATGTTGAATCAGAGTTTTGAGATGAATTCAACGTATTTCCATACAAAGAGATAAAATATAGACAAATATTACACAAATTCTACAGGCGAATAGATCTCTGAACAATGTACAGACGAATAATTGAGGAATAGTTGTTGTTGTGTGTTATCATTGCTATCAAAGGCAACGTTCTATCATAGAACTTCTATGTAATGAGATTCTAACTACTAATTACCGCTCAAGTCGTGTGCAAATGAGTGTAGAGTTGTGTGCAATTTATACTGAAACGTCAAACGAACTGTTTTGCAAATAAAGCAGTGAAAAACATTCACAGAAACATTAAACGGCAAAAATGTACACAATTTTTTTGAATTTATTCACCATATGTTCTTCTTTTTTTTATATATATTTTTTTTGCTTCGATTCGCTAAAAAAATCCAATAATTTAAGAGCTTTATATCGAAAAAGAAAAAAAATCTCTAAAAATATTGTTAGGATCCCGCCCTAGTCATCAATGCCAAATGTGTTTGTCAAATTCCTGATCGGTGATTTTGTTTTTCTTTCAACTTCTTAAATGGTGAATTGATATCATATCTCTTAAGCTCTTTCACCGGCCCCACCCCAGACAGCTTAAGAATTAGCGGTGTATGGAAGGCGCCAGCAGCTAAAATAACTTCTTTGGCTGCGTAAATCTTGTATGCGTACATGTCACGTGGTGTATCATCGAAGTCCCAAAGTTCAGCAACGTGTGCTTGCCATCGGCGTAAATCTTTCTTCGCCTCATCAAAATGTAACATACAATTTAATTGGCTTGAACCGCCCAATCCCTTTCCACGTGGCAAATACTGAATCTATTGGAAAAGAATTTTCAATTATTATATACGGAAAATTCCATTGAATTTTAAATGACACTGCAAAAGTCAACATGTGATTTCCTTACCTGACCTCTGAATCCAAATGATGAATTTTTCTTGGTCATCGTTTGCAAGCTCCAATCGTTTCGACTGCGTTGATACTGCGATGTCAAGAATGGAATCATGGCCAATAGGCTGAATGTGCTGTCACTTTTAGTTAGCAAGACACTCGTGTCACCATTTTCTCTCAGTCGACTGGTCAAAATGCATCCTGCCGTTCCGCCACCCACAATAGCATAATCGTGCGTATATTTCTGCGCCTCTTTGAAGCTAAATACGTTTGGAATGCATGAAAAAAATGAAAAACTGTACAGATCTTACCGGAGCAAAAATAACACACTTCAACTTTTTACGCATTTTAACTGTTTAATTTATCTCATTTTTTACAATAAAAACATTTGTATTTTTTTCGCGAAACGTTCTCATGTGGAGTAGCGCATTCAAAAGAATCAAATTTAGTGTGACAGCAAACGAGGTGTCAAAAGTAATTTCGAATACAAACCGATGTGGTGGCGCCACTGTTACAGCTACCATTGGAAATTTGAATACAAAAATTGTTGAATAATTTGCCTTTTTCATTTGCGAAAAAAATTGTCGGCTCAACCAATTGCTACTATTTTGCTGTTTAAAATCACCGAACAATGAAAATAAACCATTTTTCGCTCCTCAACGGCAATCGAACTAAAGTCCTTGTTTGCTATAATGTCAATGTGATGACTGATTTTATGGAAATGGAAATGGAAATGTTTTGCGTTCAGCACAATGAATGTTTATAACGGGTCTTGGCGCGGAGATGACACTTCAATGTGGTTTTTTTTTCGTTGTAGTTGAACTCGCATTCATCGGCCCTTCAAAATATAGAAAGAAGCGATAGTGACAGTATAAATATTCAACAGTTTGATAGAATAGTACATGAAAATCATTTAAAATCTCATCAAGATGTCCAACACTCAGCCAGTCCGAATCAGAATCAAATGCATGAGCGGCATCGAAACGCGATCAGTTCCTTTTAATTGCACACCAGACCACCGATTGATTGATGTGATAAAATCATTTTTGATGGGCATCGATTTCAGCGTGATGTGGTTTGAATTCTATGATTCGCGTGGTGAATGGCTGTTCGATACAAAACAAACGGTTGCTGATTACTTGAAGGCCAACGCACAAATTATTCTTTACAAGAAAAAGGTTGCATTGAAGTTTCGAGTGCTACAAGATCCAACATTCACCGATTGGTGCTTAAATCATGGCCGGAAAATTGACAATGGTCCAATTCCTGAAATTGGTCGCAACTGTGGATTCGACAGCGAAATGACGCTACAAGCGCTTTGTGAACAGTTCGGCGATAAAAACGGATTTTCACACCATCGATTGAAATTTTTCAATTCGGACGGTGAGTGTGCTATATCATTTCGATTTGACGTTTTATTCACAAAGATTTCGTTCACTTTTTCTAGGCCAAGACATTTTCGAATCATTGCCCCGGGATGTAAATTTGGGAAAATTCTTCGAAATTAACGGACCGATGATATTCTACACCTATCAAACAGAAGCTCACATTGATTACTTCTATCTTAACGCTTCTCACGATCCACACTCTGTCCCGAAGCGATTCGAATATGTAGAAGGCATGACTGTAGATGACCTATCACGCACATACAACTATCGGCACAGTTCGTTGTTGGCAATTGAAAATGGTGACATCGTGGGGTTCGCAGATGCAAGTGATCCAGTACAGGAGATCCTCGATGACCACACGACATATAGACTGGGTGATTTCCATGACAGCCACGACAAAAGTGAGGACCACTTCGATGTTTCAGTGCAATTCGAGAACGGCGGTGATAAATTCATGAATCCGGTATTAGTGTGCGCGATGCATAATGAGACCATCAAAAGCTTCTCTGAAAGATTGTTGGCAAAAATTGTGGAGCCCGATTGCATTGCCGTTTGCCTAAAATCACTCAGAATCAACATTGGCGGTACTACTTTCAAGTGCAACTCAACTGTGAAACTCAACAAACCACCTGCATCGGATACATCGGACATTATTGTTTTTTGTATGGTTGATGCCGCACATTTGCCACCGGAACTAAAGTACTGTGACTATAAATATGAGTTTTATTTTTACGATAAGAAAAAACCATGGCACAGAGTCAAATTTTGTTACACAAAGGTTACTGCCTGCAATCCAGAAAAACTCTTGTCGGTGATCGATCAATTCATTGAATGGAAGAAATTCACACTGGAAAAATGTGAGTTCTTCGATTCCCGAGGTACGTATATATTCGAATTTTGAAGAATAATTTGTGGTAAAATTATAAATAAACTATTATGATTAACATTGGATATGTTCTGTTTTTTCCTTTAGGTATTCAAATCGAATCAAAAAGCATGCAGTCTACTGTTGCACAGTATGCTCGGAAAAACGATCTGGTGATTTTTTATGTCAAAACGAGCAGCGATTAAAATGACATTACCATGGAATCTTATAATAAGGTATCAAGTCTTATGTTTTTTTTTTAATTTGAAATATTATAACTGAGTCATCTACTGCGGACCATTTTTGGGCTGCTGAGATTTGGAACATTTGCTGTGGTGTATATTTTAAACCGGGTAATTTTAATTCAGGACCATTTCCCTCTTCCCATTTCAGATAAGCAGGGTATGACTCCTTGATGCCATCCGTTTAACTTATGTCACATAACAAGACGGAATCATTTGAATAAAAACAAATACAATGCTGTTGTAACAACAGCTAAATATATCTTTCATACTTTTAAAATTCTGTATAATTTTCATATTGTTCAATGATACAATTAGCTTTTTCCACGTAGTGTTCTCTAGTTGTTTCTTTTCATCAATCAACTAAATTGCTATTGAGATCGAATTGGCGACTCTCATCGTCAAATCCATGAGTAATTTTAAGACCAATTATAGAGCCAATTCCTTCAAAGTTTAGATAATAAGGTCCTATCATTTTGAGAAAAAAAGATTGATGTAGATATGCCAAAATGAAACATAAAGGCATTGCAAAGAACTAACTGTTGGCTATAAATATAAGCTCTTGTAGAATACCTGCTGGAAATTCTGTAAATAAAATGTAATAAGTGAAAAGTTCTTGTTTAAATCTGGTACGAATTTTCATTTTTGATTGAAAAAAAAAGTTGAATCAGAGTTTGGAGATGAATTCCATGTATTTCCATACAAAAAGATAAAATATAGACAAATATTACACAAATGCTGCAGGTGAATAGATCTCTGAACAATGTACAGACGAATAATTGAGGAAAAGTTGTTGTTGTGTGTTATCATTGCTATCAAAGGCAAGGTTCTATCATAGAACTTCTATGTAATGAGATTCTAGCTACTAATTACCGATCGAGTTGTGTACAAATGAGTGTAGAGCTATGTGCAATTTATTCTGAATCGTCAAACGAACTGTTTTGTAAATAAAGCAGTCAAAAACATTCACAGAGGCATTAAAAGTTAGAAAAATCAATATTTTTTTGAATTTATTTCAATTTTTTCCTTCATTTTTTTTATTTACAAAATGTGTTGCTTCAAATTGATACAAAAAAAAACAGTTTTATATTAAAATAGAAGAAACAAATCTCTTTAAAAAAAAAAACTTAGCTTAGGAACTGCTGTCCTAGTCATCAATGCCCATGTGTTTGTCAAAGTCCTGATCGGTGATTTTGTTTTTCTTCAACTTCTTAAACATTTTAATATCGTTGGCCAGTTCGGCGATGTCATCGTCATTGATGCCGCCGGTTCGCTTCCGTTTCACTGCTGTGCCCGAATTCAATTTCAATACTTTCTTCTCTTTGCGTGATTTTTTACAAGCTTTTTGTTCGGCTTTGCGTTGCTTCGATATTGACCATGCTTCGGTGGCTTTCTTGTGTTTTTTCTCATTTTTACCCTTTGGCCATTTGCCCGTCTCCACGAAAATTGCCAATTTCTTCTGTCGTGCCTCTTCCTGTTGCTTATTTTTGTATCGAATTTGATTGATGTCGAACGGCATTTTTGGTGCAATGAAATCACGTGTTGCATTACCATCTTTGGACTTTTGTTTGAGCTCCGGCATAAGAGGCATTTTCAATAGGCCATAACATGAAGCTATCTTTCCTAAATTCAAATCGTTCACACGCAATATGAAATTGCATTCGTGTTTCGAGTATGCTTGAATGTGAGATACAAATGCACGATTCGCTTTATCGAAAATTGAACGATTGCCCAGCTGTGTGCGATGAATGGTTTCGCGTAGTTTTTCAGCGGTGGCAGTTAGTTTGTCGTTTGACGCAGAGTCGGTCACTTTGGTCAAGGACACATTTTGATTACGGCATAAAAAGTCGACGTAGGCATCTTCACTGGATTGAATCAATATAAGAGCGTTTCCATGTTGACCTTGACGTGCTGTTCGACCAACACGATGCACAAAAGCGGCAGCATTCGATGGCGGTTCCCATTGCACCACCCAATCCATCTCTGGAATATCAACACCTCGTGCAAGCACATCCGTACATAATAGTAGGGAATTTGATTCCTTTTTAAATTGATCCAACACCTTGAATCGTCCTCCTTTCATTTTACCGTGCAACGCCAGACATTTTGTGTCGGGCAACACGGCTGGCAATACTTCGTTCCAGTATTCGACGCATGCACACGTCGGAAAGAATATTAACGCCTTCTTAATTTTACGACGTGCTATAAAATCCAAAAGACTGGCCAATTTAAGCTCCGGCTCAACGATCATATAGTAATTTTGCAATCGAACGGGCGTACTTGTGGTAGATTTTTCACGAATTCGAACCAATACCGGATTTCGAAGACCAGCCCGAATCAAATCTTGTATCTCTTTCTTCTGTGTGGCTGAGAATAAGGCGGTTCGTCGTTGGGTTGGTAAATATTTCAGAATTGTATTGATTTTGCTGGAATATTGGAGTAAACTATCGGCTTCATCTAAAACTAAAATTTCCAAACTTTTGCATCGTCCGCACAGATTCAAGTTGCATTTCCGTTCAAATAGCTCGAGCAAACGTCCCGGTGTTGCGATAATAATGTGAGCACCGTTCGCTTTCAATGCCGTTGTATCTTGATCAGAACTGGCTCCATCACTACCACCAATCAACAGACGATGGGTGAAGCTTAACGCTTTTGCGAATGGCTTCAGCACTGCATTCGTTTGGGCGGCCAATTCACGCGTAGGTGAAAGTATAATTGCTCCGACTTCGTTTGCTTTCCACTTTTCTTGATTCGATCGACGCAACAATAACTCCAATATTGGGATCACAAATGCCAATGTTTTACCAGATCCAGTTACCGCTTCAGCGGCCACATCTTTGTACGACATCAACAATGGAATCGATGCTTTCTGTGAGTAAAGAAACAAAGACAGCGAGAGGTGATTACAAATTCGAATGAGAAAAATTCATTCAATTGTATTCATACCTGAACCGGAGTCATTTTCTCGAACTTAAATTCATTTTCGATAACCGACAAAATCACTTTATTCAATGGCGGATCGAGCGCATCCCATGCAGCTGATGTAGACGCCATAACGACTAAGTTGACAGAATTTCGTTTCTATATTTCTTATGAAAAATTGAAAAAAATCGCACATTATTTTGTTAGCAATACAAATGCACGCGGGTTTTATTTACTATCGTCACGTTGCGCTTAGTTCACTTTGACATTCAACTGTCAAACTCTTTAGATGGAATGACACACGCATACATACAATACGAATGTGTGAATAGACATAAATGTTCTTTTTTTCAGTGGAAATTAGGAAATAAAAATATTTTCGTAAAATTTGTCAAAGTTTCTAAATAAAAATTGATTTTATAAATGATAAATCAATCGATCATATTTTTTTTTTCATGCATTTAAATAGAGAATCAATATCGATATACCGTAAAATGCTGGCGCAATGGATGCGTTCAATGTTATTTCGGTCGCAATGGACGCACAGAGAAGAGAGCGAGAAACGGCTTGAATGGAATTGACAGATGTGAATTCCTGCTGAAGCGTACGACAAACGTATCTGTATGTGGAAATATCAAATGTAAAAGCGTATTGTATTAACATTAGTGTTTCAACAAAGTAAGGGATAAAAAGGCGAAAAACGAGTAGCAACACTAATTTTTCTGTCTCTGGTGGATTTTCGATTTTGTTTTTTGACACACGCAAACACTGCACCAAGAAGAACTTTGAAAATTATAATTGCCACTGTCGATTGAATTGTTGAAAATCGAACGCGAATCGAATTGTTAATTCGGTCAGATTTATTTTTCTCCCCAAATGATACGTTCATCTTTTATTCACAAATGCAGCCATTTCTACGCCATTAAATAGCGAACGAAATATTTTTTGGTGAAATATTTTTCGACCATACAGAACGAATCACATACACATCGATTGCTATGAAAAACATAAACAGAAAGTGGTAACATTTTTTGAAGCGGTTAACAATTTTTTGCGACGACGATGAGAACAATTTTTTGAATTTTTTGTGCACGAGCAATGTAATTTCGGAGAAGTGTGAAATAAAAGTTTTTTTTTTAAAAAAAAATTTTCAATTCAAGAAATTTTCCACGCATCTTTTAATTATTATTTTTTTTTTTAAATTCGTGAGTGAGTGAGTGTGTGCGTGGAATAAAAAGTTGCTGTGAATTCATTAATTTATTGTGAGAGTGCAAACATGGAGATTGAGACGATCGCCGAATGGGATGCAATTTGCCGAATTTGCCTGCAAGAAGGCCAATTGCATTCGTTATTCGATTTTGATGATGAGAAATCGGAATTAAATATTGGCGAAAAAATTATGCTGTGTGCACCGATTGTGGTATGTGGTTTAAGCTCACAACAATCACTGACACAACACTCACTATAATTGCTTAATATTATTGTTTTTTTTTTTCCATTTGTTTTTCACGGAAATTAGATTACAACGGATGGAAAATTACCGGAGCAAATATGCACGGAATGCTTATATGATTTAGATGTGGCGTTTCGATTTCGTAAGAATTGTGAACGATCCGATACGATATTGCAACGGTTTTTAAATCCAACTGAAGACACAGAATTAGGTGAAGAGTATATTGAACAGTCGAATGATCCATTGAGCTCGTCACGGGCATCGAAAGACAGTCGAGTATTGGTTTCTTCAGATGCTGGTCTCTATGAATACCGGCCACCAGTCGGTTTGAATGTAAAACTGGTGAAAAGTGAAACGGGCGGCCGAGTGTTACGAACAGCCACAAAAAAGAGTAGCTCAATCACTGCCTCTGATGAGCACACAATTTATTTAAAATCCGAACCAATGGATGATGACACACTCGATGATAGCGATAACATTGATGTATTGTATGATATTGAGACAAATTTTGAAGATTCTACCGATGCTGCCGACAAACCAATCGACTCGATGCGCAAAGTAAGCGGCAAAAGTAGCTCGGACGCTAGTACGACCAATGAAAATGATCCGAAAATCATGCAAATCAAACCGGTTCGCACAAATAAAGTACGATTAGGCTTTACTTCGGCCAATAAAACGAAGGCCAGCGGAAGCGTTAGTGTTAAATCAAAAGCAACTAGCAGCGAAAATGGTAGCAAAGAGAATACGGCCACGGTTCGATCACCGAAATCCAAGACTAACGCCAAAGGTGAGCCAAAGCAACCGAAAAAGTGCGAAATTTGCGGCAACACTTACATGTATCAACATGCACTGGAAAGGTGAGCTCGGTGATATCGATTTAATTTACACATTTTGAAGTGATGAAATATTAACAAGCAGAAATTAATGAATTGATTATGCTTCCATTTCAGCCATATGCGTCGGCATCGTAATGAAAAACCGTTTGTGTGTAGCGTGTGTGGGAAAGGTTTCGTTATCAACTTTGAATTGAGTCGTCACATGAGAACAGTGAGTTGCATTTATTTTGAGACATTTTGTATTCAAAAATAAAACGATCTCTATGATTAAATTTATAAAATTGTCGTATTTTAGCACACGGGACAAAAGCCGTACGCTTGCAAGTATTGTGATAGAAGATTCTCCGATTTTGGTAGTCGCGTGAAACACGAACGGTATTTCTCCTTCTTTTTATTGTCTAATTCAACATTCATCAATGATTAATTGATATATAAATTCCATTTTTATTAGAATCCACACGGGAGAACGGCCCTACGCTTGTAATATCTGTGGCAAAACCTTCGCATATTCACACGTTCTATCGAGTCACAATTTGATCCATACCGGTGAAAAGAAATATCAGTAGGTTTCATCTAAGTATATTTTCCACTTACAAATGATTGATTCAATAATAATCATTACACTAAAATGGATTAAAATTGAATTTTCCAGTTGTGAGGTGTGTGGAAAGCGTTTCGCTAAATCGCATCACTTGAAGGCACACATGAATACGCATAACAAAAATGGTGCGAAAAATCAGCAACAATCTCAACAGCACAGCCAACAACAACATGAGGACCAATCGCAGACACAGCAAATATACGCTTTACAAGTGATTGATGATCAATCGCAAATCGATGCCGATTCGGCCAACGAGGGTGATTTAGCGGAATATTTGACACAAGCGAATATCATTACAAAAGATGATGATGGCACAAATAGCGAGGGTGAAGGTCAACTCTTGCTATACGATGTCGATGTTTTGGAAGCAATCAAAGAAACATCCAACATTAAGAAGAAATACATAACGACGACCAAAGGTGGCCAATTCCAAGAAATCACCATTGCAGATCATCAGGATCCCATTGAATTACTTACATTCGAAGATGATGAATTAGAATAAAATGCTCCACTGTCGACAATGCCTCGAATTCAGTTTAACTTCGATATATTTTTTCCCTTTTAAATTTAAAATAATTCTCCAACATTTGTACGATACAACACTGACTTAGTTGGCTCATATTTTCTTTGCACTCTGAAACATTAGATTAAACAAGAAGAATTATTCACTTTTGTTCAATTTTTGGGCAATAGAGCTCGAATGAAGGAGGTGAACAAATGCTATAGGTTTACCATTTGCACTGAATGAAATGCTTTCGCATCAACAGTAAATTGTTTCCCATTCAAATGATGGTATTAAGAGCACTAGGAAGAAGACTTTAATAAGTTTGTTTAAATACACAGAATTCTAAGGACTATATTAAAAGAAACAAAAAAATGATGAAAATAATGATATTTCGTTTTATTTTATTTTATTTAGTTGACATTTTCGGTTTTGATGTTTTTCTTACATGGAAAAATATGAGGAAGTAGCGGATTTCAATGAAAAAATTATTTTTAATTGTTTTTATTGATTTTACAAAATGAAAATTATTTTTGACAGTTTAATTCATATAGTTAAAGATACGTTTCATTCTGCATAAATTATCATTAGATTTGCGTTTGCCTCGTGAAATTGTGATTGGATTTCATTTTGCTCGTTCCAGTGTAACAAGTGTGCCACAGTCATCTACAAGAAAGTATGGACTCCATTCATTGCCACAGCATTCTCCTATAGTCTCTTTGGAGTGGCGACTGTAGAAACTACAACGGTTCACTGATTCAAACTGAGCCAAATACTCGATTACAAAGTAAATGTTCATAAAAATTTGATCAAGTGGAAGAAACACAATTTCTCTCAATGATGGTAATGCTTTCAAAGCGTCTAAATCTCTCTGGATAAAAGTGTTCATATACCCCATTTTGAACGTTATCTTTTCTATTGACGGATTCTCTTCGATAAAATCGGAAAAGGCATTACTGTACCGAAAGCAAGAAGTGAAAGTGAAGTCTCTAAGATGATGGAATGAAAAGGGGATTCTGGGCAAAGGTTTATATTTACCAAGTGTCACGTTCAACTTAAATTCTGAGACACTTTGGAAATATATCATATCGCCTTTGGGAAATTGTACTACACTCGCAATTTCAAGACTTTCGATTAACTGTAAATATTCACTTGCGGGCCGTAGGAATTCTGGATCCAAACTTTTCATTGAAATGCTTCGCAATTGCGGATTATGCTCTAGCACCAGAATTGCCTTTGGTTCATCGTATAAAGTGCCTAACTCGATTCCTAAATGTTCTAAATTTGAAAATTGTTTTGTTGCATCTTTAATTAAGCCAATTTTGGAACCATTAAAGCGTCGTAGTTTTGGAAAAAATCTCGATATCCAATTTTGATCGATTTCAAAATAATCCATATCTTCGAACTCTACAACATTCGGAAACAGAAGTGAGGAGACATACAGATGACTAAATTTCTCGGATGAAAACTTGCGAAGCGATTTAGAGCAATAACGATGCACATAATTTAGAACGACCGTTTCCCAATATTTTTTCAGCGTCACTTGGGTGATCATATGACCGAAGCAACGTAATGTTTGCAGTACCATTTTAAAATCTTTGATTACGACTTTAGACACGTGAACGGAGAACAATGAAGGTGGGAAGTCGGTTAACCTGAAATGTTCGAATTGGATGCATTTTCTTGCATACTTTCGATTGAACGGCGCATATGCGG